TACAGTTGTACGTAAAGATCCGTTTTTTTTTTTAACTCTTCATTGTCAGTTTCTGATGTTGCATGAGACATGAGTCTCTGGGTAACTGACTTGAATTTTTTGGCAGGCTACTTTATAAATCGAGACACTCATGGTTTGAACCTTTTTTTTTTTTTGCAGGTTTTGGTTGAAGATTGCCGGATTTCTTTGATTTCTGACAGTGTTAGTTTCTGAATGTAGATATTTTGTTTCAACTTTCATAAAGAATGAGCTTATCCAAGAAAGGATTACAATCAAGTGACACGAAGCTAGGTTCCTCGAGTAAAGCCACCGCATTGAATCCTAATGCGGCGGAGTTTGTTCCTTTCTCTCTTAGATCACCATCCTCTGTAAACTCCAGTAACACCGATGCAACAGCAAGATTTTTGTCTTCTGGGTCTTCGGGGAAACCAGTTATAAATAGATCAGAATCATCTGTTTCGAATAACTCCGATGATGAAGCCCACCAGTTTTGGCGTCGCCAGCTCCCTGATGATATTACTCCCGACTTCAAGTTCACGGGGGATGATGAGTCTCAGGGTCTTGGAGGGCTGTCTTTAGCGGGCTTGTCCTTGCATGATGATAGTGAAGCAGCGAGATACTCGGCTTCTGCAGGCAGTGGATATGTGTTGAATGACCTTCAGGAATTAGTTTCTCATCAGCTCAATGGCAATAGTTTCACTGAAAAGCTCAGATTTACCGGTTCTTCCTTGGTAGATAATTCTCCTTCAGCTGGCTTTCTGTCTATGTCAACCAAGCCTTGGGACAAGCAAGTTGTTGTTAATGATGACCAGCTTTTTGGAAGCAGCAGGGAAATGACTTCTTATAACGGGACTTCCAGGAATACTTTCGTAAATGATGTTTTTGCAGAGCACAGCATTGTTGATGATATGGATACAAGTCCTTTAGATTTTTTGGCTTTGCATTTTCCTGGTTTTGCTGCCGATAGTCTCACCGAAGTGTACTATGCCAATGGATGTGATCTGAGCATGACCATTGAAATGCTCACTCAGCTTGAGGTATATCGAACTTTGCGACAAACTCTTCTATGAGGGTTTTTTTTCACTGTGTTGTAAGTCTGCTTGCGAAGAGGGATTCTCTCTTTTTACAGTTTTTTCTTTGGGGTTAATCTACTTAAAAAATGGGATGGACATGACGATTAAACAAATTCGTAAAATGGTTGATTGCTAGTATGAACTTTTGTTTCTTAAAGAAGCTTAGAGAATACAGATTGGTTAAGATGCATTTTCTAAGGTCAAAACATACTCACTCTCTCTCTCTCTCTCTCTCTCTCTCTCTCTCATGCGCTCTGGCATGTTTCTGCAGACGTACCTGATATGCATTTTTCTGTTTTCCTTCCATTTTGCTCATTTTGTGTTCATGACGGGGAATTGATTATGTCTAAATAAATTATGCCATGGATATCATGGATGATTTGAATACTTGGATGCCAAACACGGGAGAATCTCTTTTATGCCTTCTCTTAGCGAGCGAGAGCTGGCTAATCATTATTTATTGAGGTGGTCTTGGTTTTAAGTCCTATCCATATACTTCAGTTCTGAGGCTCGTCCTCTGGTACAGGGCACTATCAATTTGTATGGGATTGTTTCAGACATTCTTTAACCTTTTTATGTTTGTTCTCTTTGTTTGTTTACTTTTCTCCATAAGCATTTTGGATATTAGGAGGAACAATGTATATTCGCAATATTGAGAGCAAGTATGTAGGAACCCTGTGTGATTGAATATATGACCTTCATTCGTGCTTTAAGTGCTCATGTGTTTAGTTCTTTATGCTGAGGGAAACCGTGTTGTACTTTTTTTTTTCCATGAAATGTAGCTTCAAATTGATGGTGCTTTTACTCCAAACTTGAACTCAAAGACCTTATCGGCTCCAAATCTTAGTGCAATAGACTTTCCAGCACTTTCCTCAGCAGAAAGTCAGAGTGTCCAACAAAAATATGCTGGCGATGATGTCCATCAGAGTGGCATGCCTTATCGATCTACTGACAAGGACAACCTTCTTCTGTTCAAGTCCAGTCCTTCCTTTCCATCTAGAGGTGCTATTGATTTTGCTTCAGCAGTTAAGAAAATGCCATCTCAAGATTCCAATATTTGGAAATACGATAGGAATGGTTCAACCAATTCCAACATTGGTTCCAGTAGAAATTCCCAAGTGTTGGCTGGTGCTTACAATAGTGGGCATGGAAGAGGCATCTATGGTGACAGGTTGCAGAGTCGTGCTTCTGCCCGGTCATCTCCTGTGTGGCTTGAAACTGGAGAGGCAGTGGGTAATATTCTTAAGTTTAACAAATGTCATTTGCATTATTTACTAGTAGGACAGATGTCTTGTGCACATATCTATTTGGCTTAACAATTTTGAGATGGCAGCTAATATGTATTCTGAACTGCGGGAAGAAGCTCGTGACCATGCACGATTACGAAATGTGTACCTCGAACAGGTTTGCTTTCAATTACGTTGTTTACTCCTTATTCCAAACTTTCTCTGATCATAATTTGCATTTGTCCATGAAGACTGTTACTAATCATCTGCACTTCGTCGGGTGCATCATGTTACAACAATGGTACAAAACGTGCCATGAGTAAATAAGTGACACATATTGTTGGGACCTCAAAAAAGATTGTATATGTATTAATGAAGATTTGTTGTGCTTACCGAAGGGTGTGATCTGTCCAGGAAAAAATGGATATGATGGGATTATGGAATTTGCTACTAGTACAGATGCAATTCCTTAATTCATTAGTTGAGAGTATCAATCTGAGGTTCTCTTTTATATTCTAAAAGAAAGAGTATAAATCCGATGTAAGAGAGAGCTTCATCAAGCAGCGCAGAAAGCTGTGTTGTAGTATCTTAGTATTTGCTTAGCCTTTTCAAGTTGATAGTATTACTAGGCGACATTTCTTTAGGAGCAAAGTACAGACTCACACCTTGCCAGAATGTTCCTTTCACATATCTGATGCCTGTGTCTACCACAGCATATTCGATGCTTGTATTCACTGTAGTCATTGGATAGGTTGCGAGCAAGCATTCAGCTGTTTCTGCTGACTGCTGAGCTGATCCCATAAGCAATTGATTTGCCCTGAGTCGCTAGTTTTATTCTTTAAGGTGTGCACTTCTACTTTTTGTCTCCAAGGCGTCCCTACAGGTTCTTATGATACTCTTGCACAATGTACATCAACTAAAACAGGCTCGACAAGCATACCTCATTGGTAATAAGGCACTAGCAAAAGAGCTTAGTGTGAAAGGGCAATTACACGGCATGCATATGAAGGCAGCTCATGGAAAAGCGCAGGAGTCGATTTACCGTCAAAGGTATGTAGCACTTGTTACCCTTGCCTGGTATGCGAAGTAATATGCTGCTGTTCTGGCAGTTGATATTCCTGTCATTTTTAATGGTCATGAAATGATCCTCCCTATTTCGATAGGAATTCTTATCTGGTAGGTTTGGAATCTGTGTAATTCAACAGCTTCTCCGTAGCAATGCAACTCGGAAGTTGGTTAATTTGCTTAGAAATGGAAAAAAAAAACCATCATTTAATGTTGTAAGCTTCATGGTGGCTTATGGCCTTTCTTTCCCCTCTTACATCGGGTTCTGAAGTGGGTTTCTTATCACCATTGTAACTCCAATAGTGTCAATATGCATCATCAAAAGGCCTTTAGTTTGATTACCGGGCATTTAGGCACCACTCAGAACAGAGAATTGGCTTTTCCCTTTACAAGGGGAAAACTGATGCGAATTATTGACCTTTATTCTACTTTGAAAGCGTAATTACTTTTCTCTTTAGGAATCCCGTTCCCGTGGAGCTGCAGGGTGATGGGAGAGGGAAGGAGCGGATGATAGATCTACATGGTCTTCATGTGGGCGAAGCCATTCATGTGCTGAAGAATGAGTTGAGCGTGTTGAGAACTGCAGCTCGTGCGGCAGATCAACGATTGCAGGTTTATATCTGCGTCGGGACGGGCCATCACACTCGCGGAGCCCGCACTCCAGCCCGACTCCCAGTAGCTGTGCAGCATTATCTGCTTGAAGAAGAGGGCCTCGACTATAGCGAGCCACAACCGGGGCTGCTTCGTGTGGTAATGTACTGAGCGCCTCGAGGTGCAAGGTATAGGAGGTTTTCTGACATGGCGAAAGCCATCAAAGGCATAGTCATTGTAGTCATTCTTGTATCTGTAAATGAGGAGATGGAAGAGAATGTAGTCAAGTTGGAAAAAAAATGGGGGAAAAAACAAAAAGGTAAAAAAAGGAAACACCACGAACTTAATTAAACACAAAAAAAGAAAAAGCTGGAGGAGGGAGAAAAAAAGGGGAAAAAAAAGGAGCTGTATCATCACTGTGTAGGCAGGTTGCAAGGATATTGCATTTTGGTAGCTGGCAGGAAGACTAGGATCAGCCGGTCTTTAGCGACTCTTCTTCTTTTTGGGTTTTAATTTTGTACCTTTATTGTATTTCTTTCTTTATATTCCTTTTTTTCCTTTATTCTCAGATGTAACTGATAGAATTTGATTTTACAAGATAGCTGGAGCTTCCCGAAATTTGTCCCGTCATATCATGATGTGTATGGGAGTCTTGAAAGTCCTACTGCTCGTCCCCTGCAGCCAAGTATTCGGTTCCGGCAACAGTCATGTCTCGGCTGCGTCTCGCTTGAGATTGTTGGGATATACTCGCTTTGAAGGGTGTGATTTCCCTCCCATCTACATATCCGAGCCATTAGAGTGTGGACTCGGTAGTGCCTTCGACATTGCGACTCATTTGTCGGTTTGCTCTGTAGATATGGCGAATTGCAATTGCAAATGGGTTGTCCTCACACTCAGCACATTATAACTTCTTGTACTTCTGGAGAAATGAAGGTCACAGGTCATGAATGGCCGTCACCCATCAATTCTTTTCAATTTTCCTTCGACTGTCGCGTTCTTTCCCTCGTTCTCTTCCTACCTTTAAGGGAATAACAATTCGGAAATGCACCACCAAAGAATTTCCCATTGCGGAACCAATGATTTCCAAGTATGGTACAACCACCCAATAAGAAGAAAAGGAAAAAAGAGGACAATGAAAGCCACAACAAGATCAGTAATAGACAACCAAAATCAGGTATTCCTATCTGGGAAAGAAGCCTATGAATGTACAGCTTTATGTGATTAACCTGCACACCAAGTCTCGAGCAAATAAAAGTATTGTCTTATTCATTCCTCTTCAAAATAGAATTTGCGCTAAGCGAACCGGGGCTGTTCGATCAGCTCAGCACGATATCTCCCTCTTAAATCAAATTCGCTGAGTGCTGACTTTCCAATATACAGGATGCAGTTCAAGATCCGATGCAATCATTCCTATGCTCTAACCAACAGTTCATATACGTTGCTGTTATTGTCCCCGCTGACCCGCTTTAGCATTTCAAAGCTCCTGCGGCTACCCAAGAAGTCGATCCTTTTGAAGGCCACAAATCCACAATCAGCAGTTTCTTTACTACAGTACATTGATCTAAGACGGTCAGCATGCCTTGAATCTGTGTGAATGGCAACCTCTATTTCCTGAGCTGACATGTTCTCCTGCAAAATGGCATCAGAAACTTCAAACTTATGCCAGATGAACCAGCCGTTTTATTGTTGCTTTGCAAGATCAACATATTCAGCGTCTGCTAAAAATAATCCACATACAACCGTATCGGGAAAATGGACTTACGTCCTTGGTACACTACTTACCATGCAATGACCGATTATGCACTCTTCATGTGTATCATACATAAATACCTAAGCCGATAAAGTGGCCTGATGGTAAGCTGACATGTCCTTACCATACATTTTATTGCAGTCTAGGGGGCTAATTCACTTAACCGCGGAACAATCGAGGACTCCTATGCCTCTACATTCAAGCAACTAAACTTGGGAAAAAGAATGTAAAAGTATACCTGATAAAAAGCATAAATATGATCCAACACCCGAAAGCATGTAAAACCTTTGTCACTGAAGAATGTCCTTGAAGATGGCCCCATTTCAGCAAAGCGGTCAACTGGGAACAGAATAGTGAGAAAATGGTCTTTAAAAATCAACTCGTTCTTCTCACTGCAATACACAAACATAGATGTTTGATTGAAAAGTCCAACTCACCAATAGTTTTGAGCATTCAAAGCTAAACCAGATTGAATGAAAGACATAACAACAATCTGCCCCAACACACACACAGATCAACCTTTCAGTAAGTGGCCTCGTTAAGTTTGCAAAAGAAGCTTCTGAACCCTTGCCATCGCCTTTTGCATCAAAGAATGCGCGTGGATGATTCTCACGGCCATCATCAGAACTAAACGAATCCGTATAAATGGAAGCAGTTGAAGTTGGCTCAGATATAGACCAGCAAATGGAATCCAGAAGACTGCTTGGGGTTATCGGCCGTATCGGGGTCTGGCACGTCTATTAAAATTAACAAAAGACAAAATTACAGTGCATGTTGTGTCTGGACAACCAAGGCAATAACGATTGTGGCTAATTATGCAAATAAAAAAGAATCGACAGATCATCTGTAAAGAGATCTCCAGAGCGATGTAAAATTCAAATTCCATTAATCTAGTTTCCTACAACTACTTATGGTATGTTCTCCCAGCCGAGAGAGCAAATCACTGCACCCAACTTTTCCGCTGAATTCTAACACAATAAGGGTCCATTTGTTTGAAGGAAAACTATTTCTGGGAAATTGATTTCCAACTTTCCAGTGTTTGGATAATGGAAAACTAATTGATGTACGAAAAATATTTTCCATGGATGAAAAAAAAGAAGCTTAGATTGGGGGAAAACGGCTTCCTCTTCTAGCAAAAAAGAAATCACTTTCCCCAAATCACTAAACAAATGAAAACTAACAATTTTCCTTGAAAATAATTTCCTTAAAATATATTTTCTTTTATCATAAAATTTTCGGTGAAACAACCGCGCCATAAATTAAGATAAAAAAGTTACCTAGCCCTATTCCAACTCAACAAGGTTTCGAAACCTTGAAACTCAAAAGTGGCTAAAGATATTATAAAGCTAGAATTAAACAAGATGCGACCATCTACCTGCATTTTGCGACCACGACGATTTCTCACACCACTTTTAGCAAAATTTACAATTTTTAGTCTTTCTTCATGACTGGCTTTACAGCTCAGCCCTTCGGAGACAACGTCATTCTTCTTTGTTTCCTGGCAAAAACAACATCCCCACATCTTAGGATGCAAAAGAACAATAAAAGGCATATGAAAAGAGTATTGAAAATACAGTTACCATAGGTAAAGGCATACACTCTTTAAGAACTTTATAATAATCGTCTTTGAAAAGTGTTATGCTTTCCGAAAGGAAAGGAATATGCACTTAATGACGACACAAATTTTTCCATAAGAAAGTTTCATTTTAACACACTACAACTTTTCATATCACAATACCAGTCTAGTTTCTTGACGCTTCAAGTGCTCTTTTGATTCTTGACATTTTTAGACCAATTTTAGTATTTCACAAGACGGGCAGCAATTACAACTAAGGCACAAATAAAGCAAAGTATTAGTAGGACTCAGTGGGAAAAGTTGATGCCCTCTGTCTTAAAGAAGCAGAAAATAGAAAACCTCAGTAACCTTTTGCAATCACGAGACTTCTCGGTGCCCATCTTAAGCACAAACTTTAATTCCCAACAAGTCAAATGAGATTACCTCCTTCAGAGGACCATTATGATAATTATCAAGCATCGTTCCCAGCTGCCTGGCCAAATCAGCAGATAGGTGAACGAGCCTCTGGAGATGTTGCTCTTTTGCTGTCTTCAAAAGCCACAGTGGCTGAGCCACATCATTCGAAAAAGGATATTAGAGCATAAAACACAAGATTTGCGAGCACAAAAGGTCAATTAACTGGAATATCCAAAAAGTCTAAGCATCAAAGTTATTTCTTTTCCCAGAAACATGCAAAATTAATCCAAACATTCAAATGCAATGAAAAAATACTCACAGTGACGAGATTGTTGCAATGACCAAGATATCTTCTGATGGAAGTCCCTTCGCAGACAACATGACTCGCATTGCTACCAATGTACCACTTATCTACAACTGAGGCGCCTTCTCTAGTAGCTGCATCAATCACCTGTCCAGAATGTAGACATATTCATACTACATGAGCAGCAAGCAACATATCAAATGAAGAGAAGATTTCTCTATTCCATGAAATTCTAATACAAAGACGAAGGATGAACTTTCAAGAACAATTCCTGATTCTGAAATTCTTACAGAGAAACAAAGACAAAAATATTGTGTTCCCAAAAGATAGTAGAGCTAACCTTGTTCTGTAGTTCAGCCGAAATGTCTGAATCTAAGTAGACAGACTGACCAGATAAATTCATCAAATCAACACTCCTTTGACAATCTCTTCCAGAAGACAAAAGGCGCGATTCTTCAGCCTTTTCAAGTTTCTTGGCTTCTTGAATACTGGCAGGAAGACAAGATTTCTCAGCACCAGTTATCCCACGAGCCCGATGCAACTCTTCTATTCGACTGCCGCTATCTCCAACACTCTTAACACTGTACAATGTTTCACTCAACCTCACTGCATGATGAAAAAGAACAGATAAAATATTAATTTTAAGCACCTTCACTCCACCAATCTATTCAGACAAAATTTGCAGGTATATTTCAAAGACATTGATTTAAACCTTAAGTTACTGAAAGACCTATCTCCTAATATGATATCAAAATGAATCTGATCATAGCTGCAGCGAAACGGATTCAGTTTGAAACTCCAAACAAAACAAAAAGGAGCGCATCAGGAAATCCGATTCCTAAAGTAATTAGACATCTTAAGTCAGGCGGACTACATCGAGAGATTAACCACAGGGCAGGTAGTTGATTTATCAGGAGCGTGTTTGCAATACCTAATTGAATGCAAGCCTGACAAACAAACTCTTTGTTCTCTTCTTGCAGGGGCCAGATGCCAATGGTCCTAACTTATTTGACATAACATCACTGCAGCAAACCGCCCAGACACGTAGTTTTGTGCATATGTCTGCATTTTATTTTTTTGCATTCTGGAATCACAGCAAGAGAGAAGACGATCAATTGTAAAGAGCCAAGTGATGATTTGAACATAGCTCGCCTAGGTATCTTTCTCCATGACAGGTTTCCAACATTACATAATGACCAATTTATAAACCTAACTCTCGCTAGATACATATGAACATAAACTCAGGGTGAAACGCTATGTAGATTCATCACAGGTAGTCTATCAAGTCAAATCCTCATCGCAAATAGACAAATCCTATCCGACGTATGTAACCGGAATGTACAACACAGCAGTCAGCCTCCATACCATTCCTCTTGACGCTCTCCACAAACCATCCCAGCGTAACGATGAAGAGACCATTTTTGGGTCCATGCTTCAATGCGTGCTCAAACTTCCGTCCACCAAAACTGTAGCCACCATTAAGGTTCACACAAACAATGAAGAGATATAATTGTCATGAACTCCACAAAAAAGCACAGGGTACTGGAAAGTTCACCACAGCCAGGCATCACCATAAAGTATCCTCATAAATACTGATCTAGTCACCTAACAAAAAAAACATCTTCTAATTAAAAGCTGAAACGGGGTTAAATAAAAGGATATCTGGACGATTAAATGGGTACACTGAGGATGTAAATCGGGGCTATATTTGCCACCTAATCTCTCTGTTGCATCCATGACTTGTTTCCTTGCTTCTGCAGTACACAATAAAGCACATTTGAAAGAGCCACGAATTTGAGGAAAAACGCCCAAACCTCAAACAATCACATTCAATATCAAAAGCCACAAAAAGAAGGCTACAAAGCAGAATGATATGAGGCTAGCATCTCAAATGCAGATTGGACATAGTAAAGGAGAATTCACAAGCTCTTACCTTTAGAGAGACCGGTCACACATATCACAAGCCCTGAAAATGGACCACTTGATCGTGTGCTTGGCTGAGACCCGACCGACGACGGAGCAGGAGACATGGTCGGCTCCAACGGTTGCAGACCTCTAAAAGAAGGCAATGAAGCCGAGAACCCACCCACTAATTTCGAACACCCCTTGCTACTGATCACCTCCACTCTTCCACTTCCCATGATCACCACCGACACTCACACTCCCCTCATCTCAAAAACTCGCTGCTCCGAAACACCCGCATCCCTCAACTCCTATTCAATGCGCAAATGTTCAAGAAAGCACTCATTTTGCATAACGCGGGCACCGAAGTGGTCGCCTAACCTCAAAAGGGTCGTCGAGAAAGACGCCCAAGAATCATTTTCTAGACAGAACCGATCCCGGGTCACTCGCCAAATACAATCAAAGGTCGTCTCACGACGACCCGGAAACGAATGCCGACAGAAGTTTTAACAAATTGGTCAACTTTAATGCACGAAGAAGCAAGCAAAGCTCTGAGAAAGAAAAGGGTAGAGCGTGAACATGCACCGCTTCGTTCCAGTGAGAAAGGAGGGACGAAAGAATCGGACAAAGCAAGGATTTTTGAACAATCCCTCTGTCTCGCTCTGGTATATGCACTAAAGGGTGTTGGTATATCGCATAAAAAGCGGAGTTTTTTTTGAATCCTGCGCTCGGTCGTCGCCCGTCAGCACTCGCGCATTCGAGTGCTTTGGCCTGCTGCTCCGCCTTTTAATCTTTCATGCTGTTAAAGCTTCAAAAGGGAGACGGGAATCGCAACGCCCACACCACCAAAAATTCAACTGCCAATAGTCGGGGCACGGGTTGGTTCTTTGCTTTTCCACATCGCCCTTTTTCTGTGGACTCCTCACTTCGCGTTCAAAAAGCTCGTTGAATGAACGGGCATGGTTTCCCGCGGAATTACGGTTGTGCCACTGAATGTTCACGTTCTTTTCTTTTTTCTCTCTCTAGGTCCTTGAACTGTCACCTAGTTCTCACTTCAGGACCAGAATTATAAAAATTTTGGCAATCTGGTCCTGTTCGGTTTTCTCTTGTTTGTTCCCAAAACTGATGGTTTTTGGTCGCATGTGTCTCCAACCTTGAATGCAGTAGATTCCATTGCGCAAAAGTTTTTTCGAGCAAACCAAGTTTCATTAACTCGAAAAGCCAAACAAGAATTGAAATGCATTTTATCGAATGAACTGCAATGTCGGAAGTCGAAGCTAAGCCAATATGTACTATTGCAAAAGAAGTATAGAATATCTACGCTAATATCAATAAAGGTTGTGTTGGGTGGTCTTGAGACTTTCTCATCTCAAAAACTAACTCAAAGGGTAAGACTTTCTCTTATACTTATAAATTGACCACCAGTATCTTTTACAACCGACGTGAGACAATCTCAACATGTAGTCAGGTTTGTTTCTCATGAACCAAAAAAGTTTCTTATTTTTCCATTTTGTTTATGCCATTTTGGTATAGCAATTCGCTTCGGCTTCGTCCCGAAGAAAGTACTGTCCACATGCTCGAATGCTTGCCTTCGAATTGAGTAGACCCAACCTGTCTTCAATCTTCACCCCTACGCAAGAGTGCATTGAGATTTGAAGCTTGACTCAATGCAACTTCAAGGACCAGCTATGTAATCAAATTTGTGGGGGAAGCCATTGCAAAATGAGAATTGGGGAATGGGAAGCCCCACCCTGCAAGCAAGCTGAAAGTGAGTGAAAGAGGGAAACATGGGCCATGCGGGGCGGTCCACCAAGAACACCGCGTGGGGGGGCAAATCGGTAAATAGGGTCAACTTCAATTAGGACAGGGTGGAGGGAGATTTTAATTTCATGGGGAACATCAACTTCAAGTCTTCAACCATCATCATCATTTCTCCTTTGAAAGAACGGATTGGAAGCTACGTGACAGTGATCTTTTCTCACTTTTTTTTTACCTCATAAGAAATGCCAATTAGGAACTTATAGCTCGGTAGGCATATGACATATGTTCGATTTTTCACATTATTAAGATCGATCAATCTAATATTTGAGTCGCACCCGAATGAATTTTGATTTGCATCTTATCCGGTCACGAAGATACCGGACTTACCCGAGCATCAAATCAAAGATCACTTGGGAAAGGGAAGGAAACGTAATTCCGGGTCATCTCTTTAACATGAATATAAAAAGGCACCAAAATTTACCCTCATGAAACAAAAAAGGAAAAGAGGAAAGGCGCCTCTTTTTACAAGCCAGTCAATAAATGCGGGATCACGGGTCGAATTCGTACCGCCCGCAGCTTCCTCATCATGCCTATTATATACAAATATAACCAAACTCAATACCCAAAAATAAAGAGAAAATCAATGCGGCAGAAGGCAAATCGGTCAATGAACAGCGAGGAAACTCATAAATATGCTTGGTCAGAAAACGACCGAGGCAGATGAACGAAAGGGAACTGCCATCCTCCTCGGATTTTATTCGTTTGCGCTCTTAATTGCGCGTCCTGTTCAACAGACTCGCTCCGCATCAATGATCAATGGCGTGGCTCGACATAGTCGAAATCGCTTGAAATTTATTGAACCCCGTGGCGTTAATCGAGTAAGCTAATCATATTCCGATCTTTACGGCGATCTCGATAAAATGTGTCACTAATTACTTTGGTCCATAGGTCATGTCAGCTTCACCTCTTTCTCTAATAGCGTAATTCGAAAGCATCTAAATTATCTTTCTCGTTAATTTTTCTGTGTTTTTTTTTTGAACTTTTTGGTTGGTGTGTCGTTCAATTTTCTCACGGATGTAGACGTCCCTTTCCATGCGGCATCCCGGTTGCTACCCAGACGTTGACCTGCATAGTTTGATCAGCCCCTCCACAACCCCTATAAAAGATCATTATCGTTGACTTCATGCCCACATGTTGGCATGTCTTTCTGCACTAACTCTCTACTTACCCAGATAGTCACGGTGATCGAAGATGAGCATTGCTTGCGCGCTCAGTCATGCGCTGGAGGAGCTACGCGCGGCTGTGAGAAGGATGCTGAGGTTTGCATGCTTGGTTGGTCCAGCAGACTATTGATATTATAATGCTGCGGCAACTGCTGGCGTTGGAGAACTGCTGAAGACGTTGTGAGTAGTTTTTTTTTTTTTTTTTTGTGAGTAGTTTATTGGCTTATGAAAAGCGGCACTTTGGAGTCGTGTGTGGGGACTGGAAATGCCTTTGCTTTGTGAGGAATATGGAAGAGGGTAAAAGGGTTGTTTAAAGGAGGAGAAACAGACGCGCATGCAGACACCGGAAGGAGGAGGAATAGTCAATGAAGCTGTCAACCTCCGACAACGAAACGGAGCAGGCACATGAAGTGAAGGTAGCCCCGTTCAATTTGGCCGACTGATGGGTCGATGACAGCTAATTATATAATAACCCAATCTTTCAATCAGGAAGTTGTGATATATACCGCAATCTGTCGCATTGATGGATGGTTAAAGGTGACTAGTAAGCGAGAGTTACTGGAACATGAGAACAAAGAGATGGGGTCTCACCAATTTCTGTAACTTCAGGTTGTCACCTCTCGAATCCATGAGTAGCAGATATTTGAGAGTTAAAAAAGTTCCTTGGAGGCCACGGGATTGTCGACATCATGAAATTTACTCGACAGCGCAAAATTACACACTGACTACACCTCACTAGTATCTGAGAATAAGGAGTAAAATCTTAAGGCAAGTCATATTTTGTTGACAACTTGACAAGCTGCGAACAATATCGAAATATCACCATAAGCAGTTGAATGTGAACTATGATTGGAAAGTTCATTCTGAGATGCATATTACTGTCAAAAGCTCATACGAGGAAGTTTTGCTAATTTGTAAGCATGAAATGCTTGTAGTAGGCAGAGAAAAAGTCCTCTGAGGCAGTCAAACTTACAAACAAAATAAGAAAGCTTGATCTCAAACCAGAGCCATAGTACATTCGTCGTGCAATCAATAATCAAGCACATATCCCCAGAGAACCAAAAATGTGTTGTTTTGATAACACAAACTGCAAGAGACCAGGAAAAAAAAATGAATCCAATAAATTTTCCCGTCTCTCCCGTTCTAGGGCAGTGGTTCGGAAAGAACGGCCAAATATCCTATCGCACCTGTGCCTTTAGTGGGAGACGGAGTTTTAACCATTCTGTTACAGAAGGACAGGCACGCCAGAAGAAGAGCAATACCAAATGCCAACACTTGCATTTAACTTCTATCAATCATTCTTCTTAGTATTTAGGAATTTTGCAGGAATGCGGGACTTAAATTTGCATCCAAATGAGAGAGCTTCCAAGACTATTGCATCGATTTCTTGTTCCTTCTTCTCATACACCAAGAAAGCTATGAAGCCGACAGGAACCCCTGCAGCGAGATTTTAGACAGGCATTACTTTCAATTTGAAGTGAGTCCCAGAGCCAATGCAGCAAGATATGAGGAGTTAGCACAAAGTTGCGTTCATGCAAAATACTGAAATGAGAAACATCGAGACAGAAAATTATTAAAATGTCCAGACATGTAGTTGGAGAGTTGTCCCTCATAGATTATCCCGGCCATATGGCATTTCCATTTTGAGGGACTGGAGAGAATCACAAGATTTTCTTTTTTCCAGTATAAAGAGAAAAATCAAGGGACTTTCTTGAGTCCATCAAAGTGGATATAAATTGCCTATTAATTTGACTCTCACCAAAGAGCTGGAGCTGAAAAAGAAAACGAATAACTAAGCCAAAAAAAATCATGATAGAGAAATATTGACAATGGCCCCATCATATTTGGACTTATGGCACTAAAGATAGTCGATGTCAGGCAATTTCTCTTTTTCCATGTTGACTTAACAACAATGGCAATCAACTTCAACATTGTAGTGGCAACACTGGGACATTTCAAAGATGCCCCATTTCATTTTACCCATCCGTATTAGCATCAATTTGACTAGCAAGAGTAAATAAAACAGCAGACTGTACTTTCCAGAATTCCAAGCGTGCCATTGGCAGGAAAACTGGAAAAAGGAAGAGCATTGCATCCAAATTGGCTGGCATTAACAGCCATATCTTGTACATCAAGTAAAGAGAAAAGTCTTGTCTTTTTGTGAAAAAGGGCCCATCCATCAGCGCACAACAATCACAGAAGACAACACAAACAATCAATACTAACAGCAACCAAGCATTAACAATTTTGAATGTCTTCTCTCGAACTTCTCTACATTTTCTTCATGATTCTCCCACTCTCTTCAACATTGCATCATAGCCATTTCATATTCAATAAATAATGACATGTCTAAATAGCATGGCGAATACCAAAAATGTTAACATTTCCAAATCAACTTAACCAAATTTCCCTCAACTTAATTAAGCATCAGTGCAGTGTCAACTTCAGAAACATTATACTTCAAATCTTTCTCATAAAAACACAATCAAACTTCTTCACATTAGGTTCATTCATTTATTATGCATGAGCAAATAAGTGGCAGAAGAAATACTGATATACCTCTTTGTCCACGTACTTTGTGTAAAATATGAGTATAGCATGTTCATGCATGGATATATGTACATTTGTGTGCGGGCGAGAGAGAGAGAGAGAGAAAGAAAGAGATCTAACCTATCGCAAATAAACTCTGCACAGGGATGGCTCCAATGATGCTAACAATAAGAAGCACACCGATGACCTGTTTCATTTAAAAGGCAGAGTTCATTAGCAGAAACTGGCTATTGGAACAAGTTTTTCACTCTTAGGTACCATGATAGCAATAAAACAAAGAATTGCACAATCAACATTTAAAGCCACGTGCAGGATCTAGGTACTGCTCCCAGAAATAATTTATTATGATGATGGGCGGGAGGATGTCCAGCAGCTCTGCTATGGATCAGATACTTTTTGCAGAGTGCGACTGACCCCAATTGGTGATCAAATTTACAGCCATAATAACCCAGCGACTATGAGAAATGAGGAACAATCTTTTCTAATTGTGCGAGAAGTTGATCCCTGGTAATATACTAATATCGTAAGAATGTGTCTTTCGTTTGGGGTCGGTAATTTAATTTAGGACTTCATCCCGAAAAGTAACAAGAAGTCATCACCAATTCCAGCCAGTTTTGCTTGTCGCAAGAGTGATATCCTTTGAAAAGATATTTACACTTAACTATTATTTTTAAGAACTTGATTGTGCTATTGCACGCATGTCACATGTCCATTCCCTTCATTATCATCTTTAAATGCAAGAGAATAAAAACCATGAGAAGGAAGTGGAAGCAAGCAATTAAATAAAATCAACCAAGAGTTGAAGTACCTTAAGAAAAAGTATCCAATCATTACCCATGGAGAGGGTTGCCATAATTTTTACAGCATCATTCCATGATGAGGCCACTGACAAAGCAAAACTTTGAGATTTCTCTTCTGATATATAAAAACTTGATGGGGAGATTTTCTCGATCTTTAATCCCAATCTGCACAAACATAAAATTTTACTAACAGTCAGATTTGGCTTCCCTCAAGTATGAAGGTAGAGATTCCGCACTGTCATATTAAACTAGGCCCAGAATTAATCAAATTCCAACATAGAATGAGTTTCTTCCTGTTTTCCTGTGTAGATGAACTATTGACCTCAAATCGCTCCAACAACTCTTAGCTCAAAGAATTTCAGTTACTGCTAAATGACTTCAGTAAATCAAGTCATTTTAAAGTAACACAATCAACTGCATATTGTGATCTGGTCACAGTGATATTACTGCTTTCCGAATGAAAAATGGGCAGAACCATAAAGCATGTACATAAGGTAGAATAATGTGTTCTTCGGGTAAAAATGAAAAGCAAAACAGAATTGGCTTACATCTTTGTTGGTAAGATGCCATGAACAAACAAGAATATGGATGCCACGAGAAGAAACTTCGAAAGAGCAGTGATGATAGTTGACCCCGAAGCAATAAAGTTGTAGTAGATTGCAGCCAAAACTACTAGTGTGGTTAATGTCATTTTCTTGTCCTTCCAGAGCAATGTGTCAGCAACTGCAAACAGTGAAGACTAAAAGATACCAACTTGTCGAAACAAGATATTACAGCTGTCTTACATGAGAATTTCCAAGGGGCAATAAGCCTTGTAGCAAACAATTACATAATCCAACAGTAATGACAACCGTTATACCAATTCATGACACCAGATCCTCATGCCCACATCAATTTTGTCCAAAAAATTGCATCCTTTTAAGAAAAATACTATGATATTATGCATCAAAGAGAGGCAAAAATGCACAGAAGGCAAATAAAAGATAAAAGACTGACAAGTACCAAGGTAGTTCCCATTGCTTTCAGCTAAAATAATATGTTAGATTCTATAGCCATCCATCTCACATACCTATAGATTGCAATAAAGTTAAACCTCCTGCTCTTAAATCTTTTATCTCATTATATGCAGTTTATACCCTCGGGATCCAGTTTATGGACTTCCGTCATCAAAAACCAAGGAAAAAAAGGCTTGGATAAATATTGAACAGATCTATCCAAACTAATTGGCTAAAATGCTTCTTCAGATACTCTGTATCTTTCCTCAAACACTATCCCCCATCATTAATAAGTTTTTCCTCCGCTATTAGCTGCACACTGCAAAGTCTTTAGCATGTTTTTCTTTTTTGGTCTAAAAGTCTTTAGCATGTGGAAACCAGCTAAAAAGTCTTTTTTTTTTTTTTTTGGTAAAAAAGTCCCATGGATGTTGAGGAAAAGGCATGCTTTAGATAAAATCAAATTAACGCTGCCTTTAACTCTCTCATTTATTCATGCATTCTAAATGTTCCTTATCAATCAGTCATATCAAGATTATCATAACCCTTTACTACTTTAACGGTAAAGAGAGAGCATCTTAAGCAATAAAAATCAATAAAAGATATATTTTGTGCAATTGACTGCAGCATAAATATTCTTCATAAGCACCACATACACCATTGTTCAATCATATATCCCAGCCAACGACATCCCAAAAGCACCTAATCTAAGGCAAGGTGACACGTGGACAGATACAGCTACATACCCCTTCCATTTCCAAGATATATGGATGCTTTAGATGGCCCTTCTCTTCTAGGCTGATTGGCAGCCCTGAGGTGTGCATATGACTCTATAGTTCGCCTTATACCCTCCTGCAAGAGATCTATGAGTCCAATCACATCACACAAGTAAACAACCTGGTGGCACCAGGTATAAGCACTCCAAAACTTCGTCATGCATAAAGGTTCATTTCATCATATACAACGCATAAAAATTAATGCAGTTGAGGTACTAGGAAAGTACTGGTCTATTCTCATGTAAGTTATCCTGTAGTATTGACACAATATGTTTATTAAAACTACAATAGGAAACTCAGTACATAGATGGACAAGATCTGACTTATTTAAACTTGGTACAACAGCACTTCGCATCTTCATCATGCAACAAATAGAGGACAGTTTAAGAAGCGACAAAACTACCATATGCCATTAAAACAGCACCTTAGTTAAAGTAAATGCAAGCGACTCTTAACCTATCTGATAGAAGAATGAAAACCTGAAGAGGTACAATGGGTGTGTAGCCAAGTCGATCCTTTGCTTTCAAACAGTTAAATGATCTGCTGCAAGAGAGGAGTCTAATGCGCGAAGGTGTAAACTGTGGAATCGGCATCCCATACTGGCCCAAAAGTCTATAAGTTAACTCCACCATATGTGCAATCGGCATTATAGCAGCAGCAGGAATCTTTATCCGTGGCCTGCAAATCATTAAAAGCTCTAAAAAACTGGTATAACATACAACGTACATTAGATTTGAAGTCAAAAACCAATGGCCAACAGAGAGACAAGAACTCTGTTTGTTCGTTGTTTTTTTTTCAACTTAGATGGGTAGGAGACCTGTGATACTAACTGCTTAACCTAAATTGCCCCAAAGACAAGGTCGCGACATCAACCTGCACTAAAATGTGAGACAAAAACAGAAGCAGTAGAAATATTCTGAACAACGAGATCAATAAAATGCTCCTAAATTTCCTTGAAAGCAGTTCCAGCGAACATATCCTTTAGAAGTTAGAAGAGTAGAACCTAGAGAATCATGTAAGCCGCAAGTTCCTGATTCATATAAGGTTGATGACATGAAATCAATTAGCGTTCATGATAACAGTTATCCATTAATTGCAACTGAACAGTTCATGAGAAGCAAAAATAAAAACAATAAATGTGCACGAGTATTTCACAAAAAATAATCGACTCACAGTTTGGAATGGTAGCCTTGACACCTATTTTTAAATTATGACTAGCTTGTCAGGATATGCATTGGATTCTAGATTTGATGTTTCATGTATCACATCAGCAGCGTCATTATTACTGGTGATGTCAAGAAACTTAAAACAAGCTACATCACAACTCTCACTCTGGGCTACTGTTAGAGCAGCAAGACTTGTCTCCAAAATCACGGTATCAAGGATGGTCGCAAATTCTTTTACCAAGAAACAACAAGAAGTTTCTGTAAACTTAAACAAGAAAAAATCTTAGGAAAGAACGAGAAAAAAAAAAAAAAAGTACCTTTCATAGCCAAGACCTTCAAGAATTAATGAGACAAACTCCCAAAACTTGATTGGCTCCTTATTAGTTATAAAATACGCCTGCAGAAAGCAATTCTTTTATCTAGAGAATGCCCAAATCAGAATCATCTCCTAGCTAGAGACAGCTCTTATATTATCCAGTACGACTGCTATGTCACCTTATGACTTCGAAAAGAAGGTAATGCAGGTATATCCTTGGAAACAGATTTCTCAATTTCCTCTATTACAATAATCAAAGCAGCAATTAAACTCTATCTCAACATTGCCATAGCCAAGAATAGCAGCCATGGCTTTAAGAGAAGCGCAAGCAAATTGCTTCATTTCAAGGATACTCAGTTTGCATGCATCGGGCCTGTAGATAAGGCAACTAACTGGCTCATGCTCAAAACAAATTTTTCTTAGCCCAAACTAATCTTTATCTTCAGATTTCAGCCTTCCTCTACAATCCTTCTTTTAAGGTAGTACAGCACCTGTTACCAACTAATAATCGAGAACAGTCTACTAATGCAAGCAGCAGGATCTGGAAATAAAAACCCTTGGTGCACTTGAGATGCTACCATTCCAATGCAGGTCCACAATACAGACGTGAAAGAACAGCAACACAATACAGAGTTCAAATCCAGGTTTTTTCTTTTCTTTTCTTGTCTTTAACAAGTTAAACTAAGTCAAGATGGATTTTGATGAGAAGCAGATTGAGTTGATTCAGGCTCAGCCAATAATAAAAGACCTTTTGCCAAAAAAATATGCAAAATATAGAGAAGATTAAATGCACCTGCCCTGAAGCCTTTTCTGATACATCACCTCCTGATGCTAGAGCTCTTTCAGCACATATATGGGCATGAGCTACATTTTCAACATAAGTGAAGTCGTATAGATTGTTGCCATCACCTATAATGAACTGGTCGTTTACAAAACAAGCAAATAAGTACGTAAAGAAATAACTCAGTTCATAATCAGCTGGTCATAAGAAATTTTTAAAGCAATTACATCAGTTTCTACACATATCCTTTCTGTATTCAGCAGACAGAAACACTAAAAGACTTTTGAAAGAGTCCGACATGAAAAAGATTAAGCAAAGAGACTAGAGATGAAACCACAGAGAGGGCAACAATAAGAGAATTAGCGATTAGAAGTTTGTGGTAAACAGGGGGAGAAATTGCAAATTACCGGGAGAACTGCCAGGACAACTTTTTCAAGAAAGTAATGGTACTGACAGTGCTGATGATGGACTGGAGGTACAATGAGATAAAATAGAGGATGACATAGTAGTTTTATTGCCACGACATCACATTTGAAACGCTAAAGACAGTTTAGCATGACTCAAATTCATTTATTCAGCCATATTTGGAATGCAACATAAAGATAAACAAATTACCTTTAATTTTCCCACTCTAGCAGCATCCACTAAAGATGGAACCAACAACTTATCACCAGGACCGAAAATGCTGCTAGGACGTATGCAGCACGTCAGGAGCCCATCCCTACCATTCGACTTAATCACCAAGGCTTCTCCTTCAGCTTTAGTCGCTGAATATGAATCATTGTGCTAAAAGTTCAAAAAGTATGTATTCAAAGTCAAAAGATGATATAAAAGGCAAACGCTAGCTAAAGGTTCTACAAACAGACACATGCATAAGTCCGTATGTACAAACATATTACATGCCACTTTTCTTCTAGATGCTCATGTTAGAAGTCAAATTACGTTCCTTTCATGCAATAAAAAGTATAGGCAAGCATTTATGTGTGAAAGGGTAGTTTTCAATACTTTGAACTTTAACCAGGTTAATACCTTTGGTGGATAAGGCAGCGATTCATCCCCGTTGAGTATTCCATGGACTCCATCAAACACAACACTGGGGGAGCTAGTATAAATAAGTCTCTTTACTTTCAGCTCGACACATGCGTCAATCACATTCTTCGTTCCTGCGAGTTCGAAAGAAAGTAAAGACAAGAACTCCATTACAAAATAAAAACCCTGGAGACAAGCAAACTGTACAAGATGGCCCAAATTACCTTGCACATTGACTGAATAATGGAGCTGCTGGTTATTGATGGATGAATTAGGAGCAGCCATGTGGTATACCACCTCAGCTCCTTCAAATGCTGTGGAACAAAATGAGATAGCTTATCTAACCGAAAAGGAACAAAGTTATTTCCTGATTAAATCTCTCAAACTTAAAACCCGTAAAACACTATAGATTATACCACACTATGAGCAAGCCCACCAGCGATTTCATATAACAATGAGTAAGTAAACAGAAGCAACAGTATTAAACATATTGATACGAAGACAGAAAAGTTGCAACCTTTAAGCACTTGGGCCTTGTCTCGGAGATCGACGGACACGTATTGAGCGCGGCCAGACCTCAAAGCCTCCCCGAGGGTCCCGTTCTCTTCGGACTGCTCGAGCTCGATCTTCGACCCCAAATCAGCGACGCGGACCGAAAACATCTCGTACTTGATCACCATCTCCACCAAATGCCGCGCCGCGAAGCCTCTCCCACCGGTCACCACGCACCACCTCTCCTCCCCAGCCATTCTCCTGCAATGCCCTTTACTGCACACACACGCACCCGCTAACCGCTCAGAATTTGCACACCACATGCTAACTAAAAACTACTAGCAGAACAAGAAGCGCAAAAAAACACATCTGCCCATTTCTTCTACGGAGAGGGTCAGCACCGGCGGGGCTCAGGGGTATGGAGACAATGCGGGAAACATTCGAAAGAGAAGGGAAAAAAATCGGAACTTGACGAATCTAACGCTTCGTTTCTTAAGAGGGTATTGCCGAATTCGATCGCTCTAACCTTTTCGGAGCGGAAGCGCCGGCGGCGGAGATGGACGGGAGATCCAGAAGCCGATGAACGTCGAGAAGATCGAACGGGGGTATATGGAATGCGAGTGCGACTGTTCGAGACTCGATGGGTATGTGCAGCGGATGTCAGATGCAATCGCGGGGACAGAGAGAGAGAGAGAGAACGAGCGTGTCCCACTCGTTGTCTTCTATCGGTTGTGGAATCTCGCGGTCCGGTCGGACATGGCAGAGACTCTTCTCTCTCTCTCTCTCTCTCTCTCTCTCTATTCGTCGTCTCCGTCACATGCACGCCTGTCGCTGGCCATTGGTCGGAGCCGCGGATGCTCGCGGATCCGGATCGGAGCTTTTCGGGTCGGGCGACGCCGAACCGGCTCCACGGGCCCGCCTGCCGTTCGGGCGGGCTTGGGAAATGTTGGGTTTTTTGGGCTCTAAGCCCTTCAAAAAATCAAAACAACACAACATTGAAGCTGGGGAGGGAAAAAATTATAGTTTAGGCTCGTTTTGTTCATCGAAAAATGAATAATTTAGAAAAAAATTTCCTAAAAATGATCATCTGTATCGCTTGAAATAATTATCTAATGAAAAATGCTTTCATTATATTGTCTAAATATTTCGTGGACAATGAAATTTTTTTTCGTTGTTATCATTTTTATAAGCTATTAAAATGATCATTTTTGGGACAATGTTTTTCAAATTATTTATTTGTTCACAAAACAAACATAATATTAGTTTGGAAAAAAATATTTCGGGTGATTTTAAGTAGGAATAGTAATATCGAGAGGAAATTACACAGAGTCCTCATGAATTTTTAAGGCGTTGCACGCTCGCCACCGAACTCTCAACAATTACGCGATACTACTCCAAACTTTCATTCTTTTATTATTTTTCTAAGAAATGATTGGGTGATAGTTTTTAATGTACTGTGAGAACAACAGTCTATTTTGTAGACCTGTCAAACAGGTAGGTTGGGTCGGGTCAGGTCTGGATTAGGTCAAAAATAGTTCAACCCAATAGATCCATTTAACTCGTTTTTAACCCATTTTCATGTAATGCAAATATAATGACCCATACCTAACCCGACCCGACCCGACCCATATTGCTAAAACACTTCCATATTTAACTCAATCTTGAACCCAAACTTAAATGAGAGTGCAAAGTGAATGAGTGCGAGATTGAGCGAGGGCAAGAGAGATGAATTGAGTTTAAATAAGTTATAAACCCATTTATGATCCATTTAAAACCCATTTATGACTCATTTAACACTCATATTATGTTTATACTCATTTATAACCCATTTACTGATATATGGGTTAAGAAATGGATTTATGACCCATTTTAACAGGTTTACTATTCTGGGCCTTAAAAAAACAAATAATGAATAATTATAAATTGTTGCGAGGTCCACTCATTTAAGAATTTGTAGTTTACAACATGCCATTACTCTCGCAATGGCCTAAAGACTGTTATGCTAACAAAGCCACATTTTTCTTATTTAATTACTTGATAGGTGCTCTAAATACACTTTTTAACGAGATCCTCTACAAAGAGAAACGGGACTTCCGGAAGACTTGAGATCTTAAGGAGCTAAACACTTCAATTGGAGAATCAAATAGCAAAAGGAGTTAGAATTAAGTTATAAGTTACCAAGCTCGAATTGATATGAATTCCTATCGTCTATTCAGAATCCATTTATATCAAAAGTAGTTGTGATATGATGCGTTCGGCCACGAATTTCCATGTATGCAATTGGAAGTTCGTCTGAATTATTGGATTAACTAGGACGAGTGTATGCACTCCTAATTATGCAACCTATATATGAATACGATCGATTGTATCGGCTGTGCTTACTCTACTTTGATCCGATGATATTTGCTAACTTGAAAAAGCTCACAAAGTTTTCATTGTTGTGATACCCGGAAACCCGGCAACGGCGTACCAGGAGATCGCCGGTTTCTCGTGCCCTAGTCTTCAACAGATTCATGCACACCAAATGCATGTCTTCAACCTCTTCCTGATTCCTAGTACCTAACCAGACCAAAGTCTCATATAAGTTCACTTCATGCCACGGTGTAATTTCCATCATCTTCGACCAGAAGTTATTAACAACGTTTGACATTTCCGAAACCTTTGGACACCAACTATGTCTTCTCACAAGCCCCTAATGATCTTCACTCTCTCTTTGCTCTTGCTTCTTGCAGGTCCATACAAAGCCGATGCACGCCTCCGGCTAGGATCGGTTCCTACCGTTGCTACTAAGCGCGACACCTCCGATCAAAGTCTAACCCAGAGGCTGGTGGCTCGGGACGTCATCACCTTGAGCATCGGCGAAGTCAAGAACGCGAAGAAGTTCGTCAACATGATCCCGAAGCTCAAAAGCGTCCAGCAGACCCCGAACTCGGACCCATCGAAGCTGCTCAGCTGCGTGGACGGCCTGACCGATAACTTGAGCAATCTCGAAAACGTACTCAAGAGGCTAAGGCATCTCAAGGACCCATACGTCGCTTACGATACACGCGAATTGGGTAGGGTTGAGGGCCGCATCATGGGCATCTCGGGCCCTTGCCGCAACGCGTTGAAGGATGCGGATGGAGTCGTGACCCAGATGCTGAATAGCAATCTAGCAGATGTTGTTATGCTCGTCGGCAGCGTCGAACGCGCCATTTTCGGCATCGGCATTACCGACAAGGGGGCAAGAGATCCTTAGTTACCATGCGATCTTCATGCTCTTGATCACGTATAATTACGTCAAACTTAGTGCCTCAGATAAATAAATGGGGTTATAATAAATAAGACTTATTACCAAGTGCCAAAATGCAGAAGCTGTGTTTTTCTTTGTGGAGAAATAAATAATGACGACCTAATCGTATCTAGATTTCGTCAGAATCACCCCATTTTTCATAAGAAAGCATATAACTTTGCGACAGACATATTTATTTATGTACGTGTGTGAATACGTAGCTTTTTATATTTTTGGTGAGGTTCAATGTGAAATTGTCAAATGCAATCGAAATATTCATTCAGGAAGTCGTTCTAACAACTAAGATCAAGCAGTAAAGTCAAATCCATGTTGCAACTGAAATAGTACGTCAGACATATCTGCATCACCTCCAATCAATCAATGCCTAAACCATCACCTTGAAAAGGACCTTTGAGCCAAGGCTAGACAAGGGATGACAAAACTTGACATTCTCAGTTAAATGATGTAATCGGAACCGCCCGAGCCGAAAATTATCCGAACCGGCCGATCATGGACGGTTCCCATGGGAATTGGTTCAGTTCACAAAATAAAAACCTTAATCGCTAGTTTGCCCTAATCACTTCACTAGTTAGAGTGTCCTAATTCACTTGACTCTCCTCTTGGTCACGCAGCACACTCACACAGGGACATCAAGTTCAAAATCCTAATTGCCATTTGCTGCTTTCTAGTTTCTTCACTCAAGTCTCACGCCTCTCTCTCGCAACTCGCTCTCTACTTTGACATCGGCAAAAAAGTCAAAGGTCACTCCATCTCCTTTGTCGTCAATTGTCTTGAGCTCATTTCTCCTTTCACGCACATCCGGCGGATTTTCTCGTCTGTTGTTCTGTTCAATCGTTTGAGGTTTTTTTGTTATTTCATGTGATCATTATTGTGGTTGTTTGTGGTGCAGATCTTCTCTTCAAGGACTACCAGAGCAACCACAGGTTCATCATCACTACCTCTTCGGTCACGTTGTGAGTTTTCATCCGTTTTTTTGGAGACCTTTGCATGTATATTCACTTCCTCTGTTTTCCTCTATTTTTTTGTATCAAAACATTTCCCATTTCCACAACATGGCCAATTCCTAGACCCTTGAATCGGACCGACAGGGCCGTTCCGTCTATCAAGTGGGTCCAGGACCAGGTGGGCAGTTCCCCATTCCACAAACCGGGAACAGGCACCGATCGGCCCTTACATGTAACCTCTTCAAACATGTTAACCTAGTATGCCCCATTAATGCGCATGTCAAAGCTTGACACCGCATTCAACTCAAACCGGTCAGTCATCACTCGATGAACCTAACATGACATCTCTTCAAAGTCAAATACTAGGAATTGTCATCTTATATCATAAGAGAAATTAAAAATTAGATTGACTTGGTAGTTCTGGTCCGTTCGAGTTTAGTTTATCTTCATGTTGAGAACAGTTGTTATAAATCATTTTCCTAGGAAAATTCAGCGAGGTTATACGATCTTGTCTCCACGTTGATGATTCCTCTGGGGAGGTTAGATAGAGCAATGAGTGGGGAGTTTCTCAGTTGACTCTCTGAGTACCAATGAATAAAAGAAGTCGCTCGTATTGCCGTCCTAGATTCAAGACATCCCACTGCATAACAATCTTGACTTGTTCATTATCCCCAAATATAAAAAAGAAGAAGAAGAAGAGAGTGATTAGGTTGACTTTAATACTGATAACCAGCATTTGTCCCATTAATAATGTTGCAAGCAGTGGTTAGAGAGACTTCTTCTCTTGGGTTTGCAAGTTGCAATTTCTTGACGATTGACTGCATTTCAGGTCAACCCTAGCTTTGTATGTAGACTCTTAGACACTTTGAAACGTGAGCTCTCCAAAATTTAATAGTCACAAATGGGAAATCCTACAGTGACCTCACGTAATATAAACATAAGCACACTTTCTCCTTTGATATGCATAGATGCATCAGCTAGTTCGACATGCGGAGAAATTCTTAGGTGCATTGGTCGGGATGCGTCGAGCCCAACCCGGAGCATGCAAATCGTTGTCTTAGCCTGCCTATCATAATAAACATCTTACTTAAAGATTTATGATGAAGCCGGATCTGGTTAGACTCAAGTAGAGAGTCGGACTTCCTTTGAAAGATGCCACTGCCAAACTTGTTTACGTTCGGTTAGGACTAATAATCATCGAGCCAGGATCGACCAGCCAAATAGTTTGCCCGAATGGGGCAGCCCCATTAGACAACCACGCCCACGAACAAGTCCAGCCACAGAGTGATAGGAAAACCTAATCAAGAACCGCTTTAATTTGGAGTTTCAAATTCAAATAGATCTTCCCATGATCATACAGTCACTGTGATGAAGATCTAGCTTTGTTCGAGCTTTGTATCAATTAGTAATGTCAAGGGATTTCGAGCCTTGAGTTTATGGTGTTAAGTTGAATGAGGTTACATGCACAAAGTCAGGATACAACCTCATAAACCAGCAAGTTGCGATTAATTATTTCCACGTTCTTCTCTCACTGACAAACTAGGTTGGTGGAAAAAGCAAAGTCTAGTCAAGAACTGCTTTACTTCGGAGTTTCGAGCATAAATAGGTTTTGGCATTATCATAGAAAGTCACCAAATTAAGATCTAGCCAGTTGGTGGCGTATGTCAAAGGATTTCCCGCCTATAATATTAAGATGGTACGAAAAGATTGTTGAGTTTTGACTCAGAACCTCTTATAAGAAGGCACAAGTTTATAATTATTTAAGATCACAAACAACACCATAAACAAGCGATATGAAGTTAATTGCTTTTGGAAAGATATTTTGTACGAAGAGATCTAAATAACTTGTCCATAGACAATCTTTCATGCAAGTGGTGTACGATATAAAACTCGAACTTTTGATATATGATCAAATGCTTCTAGTATTTTAGCTATGGAGTAATAATAATCTTAGCACGGGAACTAATTAAACAAAGAGATTAGAAAACAAAAAGAAAAGGGTCTTTCTATCTATAATGCATAGCAGACTACAGTGGCTGCGATTTCAGTACTTACTATGACATATGGGCGGCGAGATCAGCATGCTTTAGTGGAAGACCTGAAGATATATCTCTATCGTTCGTCCTTTCTTTGTTCAGGGTGTGAGTGACAGACATCTCTTTCCTTGAGAACACGCATGCATGTGGTTTTCTCTTAGTCCACTCCCAAAAGCAAGTGCCCTTAAGCCAGTGGAAAATGCATATATGGAGTTGGGCGCGCTCCTATCCGTTCAAAAGCTTAAGTTGTTAGAAAACGACTCAGAATATATTTTTGCATTGTGATAATCCTCCTCGCACGAGGGCGACTCGGCAAAAAAAAAGTCTCAAGGGTGAAAACCGCAATGCGAGTGTGGACCGTGGGCGAAAGAATCGTCAGATCCCGTTTTTCCATAATTCTAAGGATATGAATTCGGGGTTTTTTAGTTCAGATACTAGTTTGAAGTTGAGTGCGTGGTCATATTTATTCTAAAAAACTTAAGCTATTCGAGAATAAAGGGTAATATATATTTTATCCCTTTTTAAAAAAATCGTGCATGTTCCATAAAGAGTACTTAATAGTTTGTGACATATCAGAAATCACCCTACGTGTTGGCTACGCTAATTACTCTTGAGACCCGTCCTATGGATGATATCACTACGGTATACAAAAGCAATAGCGTTGAAAGAATAGGTAAAATAATTGTCTAGGACCCATTGTGCATCTTATTGTTTATGAATCTCTAATCAGCTTGATCTAATAGAAAATAATCTATAATTGCTCCATGATGTTATCATGCTATAAGGTACGTACACCCCTTTTTTTCCCATGAAGGTACTTACCCCTTTAGGAATAATGGCGAAGACGAAGAACATAAACTCAAAAAGCCTTGGTCGGCTTATGATACATCGTAGTCACAGAGAGACTTAGTTAAGTGCTTAGATTCCCAGCTAAATACATGCACATGCACACTCTCGCCCTCCACACACCAAGCTGGCCACGTGAGTATGTTGATCTCATCTCTCTTTCCATAAAATTTCCTACTTTCTTCCCAGATGCTGCCCTACGAATTAGGTCTTGCCACGACAAGAAAAGGTCTGATGTTGGCCTTAGCGTCCCATCTGTTAGCAATAGAATTTGGCAAAGTGGCATTGGAAGTTTGGCTAATGGACAAAGTGGCAAACTAGGGGTGCAAGCGAGTCAAACTGCTCGAACTTGACTAGGTAAGTACTATTCAAGTTCGATAAGACTAAATTTCAAATTCAAATCGAGTTCTTTTCGACTATTTGAGTGGGTATCACTCATTGAACTGATGGGGGGTAAAGCTCAAAGTGTATTTGAGTTGAGCAAGTTGCTAGCGAGCCTAATTGAATGTTTTACTTATTTGTGAGTGCAATTAGCATATACTTGTACTATTCTCCATACTTCTAGACTCGAGTTCGAGCTTAAGTCGAGTTCTTGAGTTTGAGCTATGTACCGAGATTTAATTTCGGTAATCGACCTTACGAAAGTCCTCTTGAGTTACACAATCGGAGGAATCATTAGGCAATAAGAGGTGTAGCAAAAAGATATGATGTTGGCAAGCTTAAGCAACATCATTTAATGATAACCTCAACCCTTTCTTCTCCTCCCGGGTAAATTACGATCGTTGCATACTTCTCAAATGCGTCATATAGAACCAACTTCCTATGACAAGTCTACTACATATAATCTCGATCTTCTCGCAGTTAGAGCAAACTTAATTTAATGAGCCGGCCAATTGAAGATTCAAAAAATGGACCAACGCGAATAAAATTAGTTGGAGAGAGTCAAATGCTTCACTTGGGAGACATATACGAGTCGTGACATCATCATTATATTATTTGTACCATCGCTTAACTACCTAAATAATGTTAATAATTGAAAACTTAGATCTGAAAAATTTTGATATGCGTTGACCCATAACCGAGAAACGCGCCTCATGCCAGGAAGGTTATATCGCGGTCAGACTCCAGATATGGGAACACAAGAGTTCAAACTGGTCTTGTCCTAACTAACCCATAAAATATGTGAGCAAACTATAGTTTATTGCGATTATAATCGAATTCACCACGAGAGGAAAAGACCTGGCTATGCAAAATCAGTATTGTATAAGTATCGTGTAAGGGAAATGAGAAGCATATCGTGTGTCATGCCATGCATTCTTGTTTCTCGAGCAATCATTTTTCAAAGAGTTTATAGGATATCATTTCGAGGAAAATGGGCAAAAGAAGACTACCCTTTAAGTTAAGTACAAAGTTCAGAATAGTTTTTTTCATAATTATAATGATATCCATGGTGACTAACCGAGAAAATGTCAAATGGTCATCCTAGAAACTCTATAAATAGGCCCCTCATTCCATAGTTTCGAAGCACACACAAGAAAAACAATACCGATCATTTGCTTTTCTATCCATATATCAAACCCTCCCGAATCATTCGAATCACATACTAGCCTTTGTACCGATATGTCTAGTGATCACGAGCAAACCCTTGTGCGGACGTCGAGAATCGGCATCATCGGTGCTGGAATCAGCGGCATCGCGGCTGCTAAGGAGCTCTCGAGCTATAACCCGAGAGTTTTCGAGGCCACCGGCTCAATCGGTGGCGTCTGGAAGCACTGCTCTTTCGCTTCCACGAAGCTCCAGACCCCTAGGTGCGACTTCGAGTTCTCGGACTACCCGTGGCCCGAGAGAGACAACGTGAGCTTCCCCTCCCACGTCGAGATACTGGACTACCTGCATGGGTATGCCGCGCACTTCGACGTGCTAAAGTACGTGAAGTACAACTCTAGGGTTGTGGAGATTCGTTACGTTGGTGAGCATGCAACGTCAACTTTGCCCCAGCATGATCACGGAATGCTGAGCTCTAGCGAGTATGGTTCGCTGTTGAAAGGCCAACCCGTTTGGGAAGTTGCCGTGGAGACTGGCCCTTCAGAAACTGTTCAGGTTCTTTAATCAAACTTTTTCTCGAGAGCGTTCTACTTTCATAACACAGTTCACGCGATCTTAGGTCTCGTCTTCTTATTTTAGGACAGTATGTCCCTTGATATAAACTCTCATTTCAGTTTGAGTGGTGCTTCTAACAATCGGACATGCTTGGCGTGTGTTTATTGCAGTGGTATGCCTTCGAGTTCATTGTGATGTGCATCGGGAAGTATGGCGACGTGCCAAGAATGCCGGATTTCCCCCGGAACAAAGGCCGAGAAGTGTTCCAAGGCGAGGTCTTGCACACCCTGGATTATGCGAGGCTCGATGAAGATGGCGCAAAGAACCTACTCAGAGGGAAGAAGGTGGCCGTCGTTGGCTACAAAAAATCCGCCATCGATGTTGCCATGGAGTGTGCGGAGGCCAACCAAGGTATATTCCTTGAATTGCATCCTAACTTACTAATCATCTAGTCCAATTTAGAAGATTTCGGTTTTCAATTATTGAGTTTTTGTGAATATGATTATATATATCCGAAGAGTTTTTCCGAATTCGTCACCTCTTTAAAAATTGAAGATTTCAAAATAAAAGATTCTTGAATTCTTGATATGATTTTCCATGTTGATATGAGTGGAGTTTCTCTTATAAGGACATGTTTACAGTACATTCACGTACCGCACTGCGTTAGAATTCGAAGTTAAGATGATTGCAGGAAGGCCAAGAAACAATAACTAAGGACTATAATATCAAAATGACGGGCGATTAATTAATCAATAATTATTCTTGACGCTGACTTTGTGGAAGGCCGTCAATTGGTTTATTAAGCGGACGACTGACATCTACTGAACAGGAAAATTGACTCATTGACCACACGTTTCCTCTGTTCTTTCCTTTTCTCTCTCCTTTTCCTTTCCTACTCTTCTTTTTTTCTTTTTCTTTTTTTGGGAGTTGGGCCATACTTTTCCTCGTACCGGATAAAAAATTACCTTAATTTGTTGCAAGTCTAATGTTGTCCGAGCGCAACACCTTGATGTGGACTGGTCAACAAAAGCGCAAAGTCTAATGTTGTCCAAAAAGCTAAACTCGTTAAATCATATCGTGGAGCCCTTTCGGTCCTAATTCTTGATCAGTTTTATTATTCCTGAAGAATTAACCTTAGGCTTCCCTTTCAATTCTATGTAAAAAAAAATATCAGGGCCTGAGGGAAAACCATGCACAATGGTGATAAGGACACTGCACTGGACAGTCCCTTCGTACTGGATATGGGGACTCCCATTCTACCTGTTCTATTCAACAAGGTCCTCGCAGTTCCTCCATGAAAAGCCCGACCAAAGCTTGCTCTGGACCCTCTTGTGCCCTCTTCTCTCACCTATGGTAAGCCCAGTTTCTGCTCAAAAGCACTGTCACCAACAAAAATCCCAGTTCCAAAGAATGATATGGTATGACTAAACACGTCCCTCTCTCTTCCTTTGGTTTGACAGAGGAGGGCCATCTCAAAGTTCATCGAGTCGTACTTGGTGTGGAAGCTGCCGCTGGTGAAGTACGGGCTGAAACCAGACCACCCATTTGAGGAGGACTATGCATCTTGCCAGATGGCCATATTGCCCGAGAACTTCTTCTCGGAGGCTGACAAGGGCAAGATTCAGTTCAAGAGGGCTTCATCGAGATGGGATTTTTGGAGTGGAGGGATTGAGTTCGAGGACAGGTCCAAGCTGGAGGCGGATGTGGTTATCCTGGCCACTGGTTACGATGGCAAGCAAAAGCTCCAGTCTCTGTTGCCTGAGCCTTTCAGCAGCTTGGTTGTGGACTCTTCTGGAGTCATGCCCCTCTACAGGTAATTCGCACCGACGCTAGTATTAATCATTCGGGATGCGCCCGTTAAATCACGTGGGTTCCACTAAAACAAGGTATTCAACAACCGTGATCAATCCGGAGGACGTGCTCGATTGTAAGTGCACGAAATGTATTGCATGCCTCATGATCAAGACTATAAATTCAGTAAACTCACCAAAAAAGGTCACACGAGAAATTTTACCAGACATGATAAAGGTAGGTACAGATTTAGACCCGAGCCTAAAATTCCTTGGTCAGGTCTGCCCATGATCTCAAAAGTCATCGAGTTTTCTTAAAAATTGTGCTTGGGGCCCGATAAGCTTTGACGGTCACAATGGTCTGCCACCAGACCATGATGATCTGGTCCAGTTACTATTTGCTACCGGGCCCATTATGGTTCAAACTTCACATCTTGGACAAGATCTAACTCTGATATTTTTGGCTGCAACAGAGGCACAATCCACCCCATGATCCCAAACATGGCCTTCGTGGGATACATCGAGAGCGTGTCAAATCTCCACACAGCAGAGCTGAGGTGCAAGTGGCTGGCTCAGCTGGTCAATGACAGGTTCAAGCTGCCCACAGTTCAGGCCATGATCAGGCAGGTGAGCCAGGAGATGGAGGTGATGAAGAGGGCCACCAGGTTCTACAAGAGGCACTGCATCTCCACCTTCAGTATCAACCACAGCGACGAGCTCTGCCGAGAGATGGGCTGGAGCCCATGGAGGAAGAGCAACTGGCTATCCGAAGCCTTCGGCCCCTACAGCAGCCAGGACTATGCAGACCAGACGGTGAACAAGAAGAATGACTAAGCGAGAGAAGCAATGGAGGGTTTGTTTTACTAGTGGCGATTAGGACAGATGAATAAGGGCAGATGAAAAGGGATTTGGTTTGCTATATGACTTTTGTTTTGACCATTAGAGGTCTCGTGCATTATTCTACTATCTGTGATATTTTTCCTATTATATATGGAATGTTTCAAATGGGAATGATATTTAGTCAACAAATTATACCTATGGATATGTTTTCTGTGAAAAATATATTCAATTTTCATTCTCCAGTTTGACCCACTTGCTTGAAACTTCGTGGAAATTGAGTGAACTGACGAGTAAAACCACAAATGAATGATATAAAGAAGATTTGGAAACAAAAAATTGCTTGGTATATCTGAAAAGGCAATAGAATCCCAACGGAGTAACACGCTGAGTTTGCTGGAATGGAATTGAAGTTGTCTATCACATTTTTCCCGGGATAATTACCAAAAAAAAAGTTCTAATTTTATAGTACGATGACCAATTCAATATTAAATAATTTAATTTTGTCAATTTAGTCATAAATCTTTTGACAATTTATCAATGTAGTCCTTCTGACCAATTTTGGCTCGCTGACGTAGATGAATTTTTTTCAAATTTTTAAATTTTCTGAATTTTTTCATTTTTTCCTTTGGATTTTGAGCCGACGAGATTGCCAGGGCTTCGATGACCCTCGCCGGCCAACAGGTGAGGGGCTGGATCCTGTGATCAGCAAGAGCGCAGAGGCCCTTGCTCGTGGCCAACAAGGGCGTTGCTGGCCACCGCTAGGGCTCCACCAGCAAAAAATCCACAAAGGGAAAGAGAAAAAGGAATGAAAGGAAAAAAAGGAGAAAAAAAATAAAATTTTGGAAATTTTTAAAAATTTTAAAAAATTATCTACGTTAGCATCGATCTTGCCACGTAAGACGTCTAATATTAATGTCAGCGATTTTCGTCCAAAACTGGGTTAATAGATTATATTTGTAAATCGTCAAAATATTTAAAATTAAATTAATAAAATTGAAATGTTTAAAACTGAATTGATCGCCGTATAATAAAATTATGACTTTTCTTATAATTTTCTACATTTTTCCCTGAGAACAAGGTTGACTTGAAGGAATGATAAAACTTAAAAGTCAAAAAAAAATCACAGGACTCTTGGGCTTATTACAATCAATGAGGGGTTCATGATGTTCCTGCATGGCTTCCATTTGGCCACAATTCTGCAAAAAACCTTATGATGGATAGAAGAGAGCAACAACCACCTGTAACCCAGCAACCTCTCCTTATTCAATGGAGTAAAACAAGGGACAAAAGGCAGAAAAATAAAAATAAAAAATTGATTTGTTGAAAGAGCATAGTCATCATCCTTTCTTTTCCTGTTTTTTTTTGTTATTTGGGGCTTCAGATCTGATTTGTTGTCTGCAGTTGAACCAAATCTCCATTGCTGTATACCTAGCTAATGTGAACATAGGCAACTTGGAAATTATTGGTACTTAAAGCCAAATTGAATGCTGGAATTTTTTATCATTTTAATTGGTGAAATATTATTATCACAAAAATGTCAATGTTTACATATTTTTAGAAGATTTGAGGTTTTTAATGTCAGATTGAAATCAAATTTCAGATGTTAAAATAAAAGCAGGAGCAGGATGCTCTTCCAAAACACCAGAAGACTGACAATGTTTGGGTTGTACCTTGATCTCATTGGATAAAAGCAATGTACAAAAGTGTGTTGTAGCCTGATTATCATGTAAAATATATGGCGTCAGTGCAATCTTGCAAAATATATGTCAACTGGTCAAGTACAGTTCATCATGCTGTGAATTACAGAGTTAAGCAGTACCCAACATCCTCAAAAGCTGTGTGGCACACGACATAAATCCATCTAGGCAACATCTATCAGTATTTCTCGGTCCTTATCTCATTCCTATTTTATTCATTTCCTTATGCTTTTTTTCCCTTCTTTTTCATTATGAGGTGGGTGAAATATGCCTAGCAACAGTTCAATGCCAAAGGGGAAGGCAAAGTTTTAATATGAAATCCAGCTGTGGAACAAAAGAATCTCATCATGTACGGAATGATGATGTGGAATCACTTATCTGGTCGATAAAAAAAAAGTATATATATTATATGTAATATATGTATACATATTAAAACTACAAAAATTTCCCAATAATTGGACCTAGACTGAGGAAAGCACATTCACTTCCTTCCCTAGAAGTTATTCTTTCCTCTTGAGGCTTCGCCAACTTCAGCTTTCTTCTGCAAGCCTTATTAATGTGGGGGAGGAGGAGGGAGAAGAGTTCTAAGAAACAGACTACAAAGTACAAAAAGAAGCAACTTGATCCTCAGAAAAATATGCATCTGCAAGAAGCAAAGATTTGATTAACCAAAAAAAATCAATCTTTGTCACGATAGCCACTCCCCATCAATTCCTTCGATTTCTCCTATGTCCATGCTGTTCCATCAACACAAAAAAGGAAGGACAGAAATGAGTTAGCACAGGATCAAAGCAAGAATCAGATGGAAATGAAATTAAACAATCAGAATATGATAATTTGGTGTCATTTCTTTGTTTCTTTTTTTTCACTCCACTAAGCTAATTGAGTCGCATACCGCACCCATCACTGTTTATACGGGCCAGCCTGGATCTTCAAGACAAGGACACGAAATTCCTACACAGAATACTCGTTGTTCAAATTTTAAGAGGACTTTGGAACTGGGCCTTCCACCAATACAATCTACTTCATTGTTGACTAACCATGGCATACAAAATGCTTAATGTCATAAGAAGTGAGAGTCTACTTTCTTAGCTAAATTGCATCAATTTGATTAGGGTTTCCTGAGAAAATTATCAGTTTTCGCACTTAAAGCTCAACACTGATGGTGAATAAACGAAGCTGATCCCAACCATCAGGCAAAAGGACTACCAGAGAAAAGTATATGTATGTCCTCAATTTCAAACTTCTTATAAAGATTTTTAAAAAATTGTGGACTCTTACCAAGGTAAGGCAGGATCTTGGTAATAGTCCTCTGAGAAGCAATCATTGAGATGTTGCTGCAAGCAATTCTCATTTGAACTCAACCAGGAAGGGAACTCCATGACCTCATCAAAGGGTTGGTACCCATCATCCTCAGCCTTCACTTCAGGTCCAATGTCCAAATCCTTCAAGCACTTGAACCACCAGGCTGATGTGACCAGGTTCATGGCATCATTCCACTCCATCTGGTGCTGCTCCCCAATTGACCTGATCTCTGCTATCTCCTCATCGGCCACCACCTGGTGCAACCCTCCACCACCACTAGGTGACCCTGGCTCAGTGGCCTCAGCCACAGCCACCATGGGAGGCCCCTCAGAAGAAGAAGCCCCCACTGAAGGAGCAGCCTCCTCTGCAGCAACAGACAAGGTAGGAGAGGAAGATGATGATGGAGACGAGGCTGAGTAGATGGATGGTGGGTTGTTACCATTGTGGTAAAGATTGGTCTCTACGAGGTTGTCAAAATCATGGAAATTCAGATTGAGCCCTAAGGGCTGGTTTGGAAGTATGAAGTTCAGGCTCTCAGCAGCAGGTAGAGGGGAAGTTGGAGAAATTGGCCAGGAGGAAAAAGGGTTTGGAGGAGGTGGTGGAGGATATGAGAAAGAGGGGTAGGCAAGATTTCCAACATAATTTGAGGAAAAGGCATGGTATGATGAATGGCTAATCTTTTGGTCCATTCTGGGCACTATTTTTCCTTCTTCAGGACATGGCTGAGGTTGTGGATGAATTGGCAGCGGCGGCGGTGATAGCTGCTGCTGATGTTGATCTTTTTCTTGTTGTATCTGTTTCTCTTTGGCTTGTTTCATAGCTGCTCTGTGGAATTTCAGTGCAGTGACAATCTCTCTCCTAGCCTCAGCCATATTCAGAAGCCTTTCTTGGAAAGGCCTACTGGTATGGAGTCTCCTCCTGACCTGCTTTTTGTGGGGTGGTGGAGGTTGCTGAGATTGTTGTTGGGTTTCACCGAAAGCCTCTTGAAATTTGGATAAACTTTGGGCAGAGAAACCATCGCTATCAACGGATTCTGGATCCTGTTGTGAGCTCATGGGATCTTTGGTTCTTGATGAGGTCAATTGTTTCACCAAGCTACGGATATAAGCACCAGAAAGATGAGCCTCGTCCTTGAGCTTACAGGGCTTACTGCCTATTTCCATTGCCTCTCTGGTCTCTTGTTTTGAAGATCTGCCCATAATATGCCTTTTTGGGTGTGTTTTGATTCCTCAGAGTAGGAGGAAAGGTAATACAGAGAAACGGTGGTTAAGGAGAATCATGGGTTTCTTTTTTCTTACACTCTGAAAGACAAAGTACAGTATGCAGAGAGAGAGAGAGAGAGAGAGAGAGAGAGAGAGAGAGAGAGAGAGAGAGAGAGAGGGGGGGGGGGGGGGGAGAGAGGAGGCAGAAGCTGATCCTGAGATGTCCTAAGGAGGGTCTCGTGGATGTGTGATATAAATAGCTTGGGCCAGTCTAGAGTTTTTAAACTTTCTTGGATTTTTCCCTATTTTAGCAAACACGTTGGTTACCATTTTATTAGCAGGAATAATAAATGGGCAGTTAGGAAGGGTCTTCTTGTTCCTGAAGTACCCTACTCTTTCACCAACATCTTGTGAAACACTAGCTTCTTTACCTCGGCAAAGGTTTATCCCAAAAGAGAAAACCCAACTCAGGGAAAGGGTAAACACCACATAACCAACTCGATGCTTTTCAATAAAGAAAAGAAAATGACTGATAGCTCATTTGGCAGTCCCGTAGCTTTTGGTGCTGAATTATGCCGTGTTGAGTTGTGGCACAATTGTGCCTATAAGGTGTTCGCAAGCATCTACTTTTAAGTGCAAGTCCATATCCTAAGCTGTTGAAAAGACAGTATCTGAAATGATAAAGCTATTTTTGCCAACATAAAGCTAAGGTGATAAACCCTCAAATCCAAGTTTTTGCAAAATCACCTTGGCTACTGAGACGCCAGGACTTGTGAAGTGTCGCCAAACACCTCATTGCGCTGCCTAATAAATTCAAAAGCAGCAAATGAGCTACACATATTTGTCAACAAATTGGTCCTAATACCGAACTCCATTCACCAAGATATGCAGAAGCTTCGTCGAGAATGCATGTTTTTCTACCATACTGACAGTGAAAAAGAGAAATATGCATTCAACTTAAATGTATGAACGATAATTAATGCATGGAAACAGACAACGCAATGGATTTTGGTCCAAGATCATATGACTGAAGCATCAAACCACGCACACAAGAACTGGTAATCCTAGAAAGGTAGTCCTCTTTATGCAAAGGTGACGACCCTTTGATTCCTAGGTTGTTGGTACACCTTAAAGTTGGATTCTTGGGTTGGTGGGGAAGTAGGGTTCTTTTTAGTACCATGGGTGAATATTGGTTTGTAATTTTCAATTCCCGCAGTGATTTTTTTTCTCGCTCTAAAAAGGGTATTTTGGGGCATGAAACAAGGGTGGGCACGCTGAGATTTTGGCTTGAAAATAACAAGGGACCGGGCTCCAAAAGGACTTCAGCAAAAGCCTAGAGAGACTGACAGAAGAATCTCCATTACTGTTGTAACCTTCTCTATTTTTTTCTTTTCATGTAAATGAGTTGGGAAAAAAATTTCCTCTTTTTTTCTTTTTTTTCTGTCTAAAGGAATCCTCTAAGATGATTAAAGTCTGTTCAAGAAACAAAGAATTTGGACCTTTTCAAAAGACAGTATGTTAAAAGACAGAAATGCTCCATACCAGTCTCTCTCTTCCCTTTGATTACTATTTTCCTTTTCCTTTTGCATCTTTCTCTACATATTTTGTTTTTTAATGGACGCTCCAATTCTCTTGACTCTAATTGGAGGAAGCAGAGGCAAGGCTTCTGTCTTTTAGCAGAGGTTCCAGACAGCAACAGTAATGAAAATTAAAGGCCAAAGAGAGGAAAATTACTGCTGCAATAGATTGATGGACATGAAACATGCACCCTATAAATGGGATAGACAGAGTAAAATAAAAAATAAAAAACAAGAAAATGGTTCACCAAACTTGTTGCACGAGTGAATTAGTAGTGTTCAAAGGGAGCAACTATATCATTAGATCAGCAAAAACAAAAAATATTAATTTCCAGAACAAGACTAAACTCTACTTTGATTTGTCAACTGGTCCATTCCATCCGATTCAAGCAGGTCAAATTTTTCATGGAGAGAGAGAGAGATTGTTAGGTTGGAAAGCAGTCTGCCCCAAGAGGGTAAACTAAGTTTTAGACTATTACATCAACAAAGGCAAGGCAATGTATCGGAGTATCAATCAAATCATTGTCAGGCAAATGAAATTTTCCCGACAGTGTTACTGAAAAGAGCCAGTTTTCTTACTGGTTGTGACATTTGCCGACTCTGAAACCCCTGCTCCATGAAGCGTTAAGCAGCTGTCCTCAATGTCCAATAGGAAGCCAAGACACTTGCGCTTCCCTTCATCACCAGAAAATTAGAAATACTAGCAGACTCTGCACTTAAGAAATTGAACCAACAGCTTAATCGTAGCTATAATGTAGTCTGGAGGTGGAATTGTATAAGAAGTCTAATCCTTCTTGAACAGGAAATTTAAGTGTTCTGTGCTATAATAAACCTTGTAAAATTAAGACTTGCCTAATGGACCAATTTGGCTCAATACTTTACATGATCAACCTCAAGCTCCTCGTCTGCCTCCCGGACAAGCCGATTTTTGTTAAGAGCAAATAATGTCAACACGAACAATGGTAATCCAGCTCAGATCAAGAGACACAACCATACTACAAGTGACTGGACTGGTATCTCTGAAGCGAGTGTCTATATATTGTAGCTACAAATAGTTGAAACCATCTTTCCTATAGCAGATAAGCAAGTAATCCCCAATAGTAGTAACCGGCTTGCCAAATCATCATGCTTCCAGGCGCAATAACATTCTTCAAGATAAAACTAGTGTAGCTGTGAATTTGTAACCCTCGTATGCCAGCAGAAATCTTCGATGACTTTCAGATTTTTCTATAAGATAAAAGTTCGAAACCGGACCGAGTTAAGAATATCCTAAAAGAAACATTGAGCATCACATTCGATCTCCCTTCTTTTTCCAACAAGAAGTATCCAAGAAGATGCACCAATCAAAATTTGTCCATCTTTCACGACCACAAGATTCAAACTCTAAATACTCTCAAAACAGTTTTATACAGCAGATCAAAACCTTAATTTAACAAACAGCATCATCACAGGGTAGTAAAATTTGAGCCTCCTACTTTCTGCCTCTAGCCATAAATCCTCTGAGTATCATAGAGGGCGAGTATTTATTTCTGTCAATGTCTCAGCTTTGACACTTGCACTCTTTCCCTGCACGACACAAAGCTTTTGGCTCTCTCTCCAGCATCTCACCATCTGTTAACAATAGCGAGCGAGTCCCGAACTTATTTCCCTTTGCCCAACTAATGCAATTTAGCCAATGTGGTCCTTGCATTGACAGCTTGATTCTTGCTGAGACAGACCCTTCTGATCCAATTTCAATGTCCTGGCTTCCACTACTACAGTCTAACCTTTCCCATTATCACCAAGAACAAATTTTTTTACTTGGGGCTACTTTTTTCCACTTACCCTTTTGTTTGAATAACATAACCAATTGATAATTAGGCACCAAAAGGATTTCCAGTATCAAGAAATGACAATCACTCAATCAAGAACTAATTCTGTGCCTGTTTTTTTCCCTCGTGACGGTTAATTTGAAGCCTTCAGCAGGAACAAAAAATACATAAAATTCCAAAAGATCGTGATACGTGAAAATACAAGAAACCAATCATGAGGCCCCCCAAAAATGAAATTATTATGCACGGGGGAAGAAACCGAGGAGTGTAATGGAAACACAACGACATCTGAACAGAAACAAGTAGCGTGAATTGCAGGCTGAGAAATGCAAGAGGATAAATAAATAATTTATGTGAGGAAATCATGCCAAAACTAATATTTTTATAAAGGAGAAAAAAAAAATGTGCAGTAAAGAGAAGGAAGAGGGGGACTCAGCTGTTGGGTTTTCTGCTTGTGGACAAAGATGGAGGATGGCTTCTTTCTTCAGAGAGAGAGAGACAGAGAGACAGAGAGAGACAGAGAGAGAAGCTTCCACCAATCGGGTTCACGCGCAGGTGGCTCTCCCTGATTAACAAAGAAGATCACTTTGACGAATCACTCTTGCCCGCCCACCCCCCAACAAACAGTCAAATCTCTCTCTCTCTCTCTCTCTCTCTCTCTCTCTCTCTCTCTCTCTCTCTCTCGCTCTCTCTCTCCAGTCTGAAAAAGAAGTGATTTTTCGTATACCCTTTTATCCATTTTGCAGCAGGAAAATCGCGAGAGAGGAAAAAATAGTGGAACTCGCACGATCTTGGGGGAGGAAAAACCATCATTGATTACTCGACTGCTGATGAATGATGATGACACAGGCTGAGACAGACAGAGGGAGAGACTACACAGATCAGCTGGACCTCTGCGTTCTTGCTTCCCCTCTGTTCCCACGAATGTGATGACTGGAGTGGAAGCGATTTAGAAGTTAGAGCTCGTTTCGTTTGAGGCACGATTAACCATCGTTACGATATTGCAATGCAGAAATTGGCAGATGTATTTCGCAAATCGTAACGCACTGTACTTTCAAGAATCTCATAACTCTTGTAATATTACTAGCAAATTTACTTAGCGTTCCTAAAACACGTGTAATTATCTCGTGTAGGTCATGGCATTACGTCGAAGTAACTACGATTTAGAATACTCTACTCGATTAATAGACTCGGTCGAATTTGTTTGAAATGAATTACATTTAATAGGCTAAAGATAAGTTTAGTTTCCTCTACTTTCTGCTTTTCCATTTTCTGCTTCTAGTTTCATGTGCATTTTGAATTTGGAGGCCCCTTTACCCCACACACACCCCCCACCACAACAAGTTGAAAATAGTTGTTTATCACACAAACGGTTTGAACAAAGATACTAAATTGATATACACAATAAGAACACGATAAGAACACAGTATTCTTAAACTATGAACTCAAGCCCGCGAATTCAATATGAAAATATAACATTAGGGAAGTATAAAGGTCCGTTTGTTTGGAGGAAAACTATTTTCGGGATATGGTTTTCCGACTTTTCGGTATTTGGATGACGGAAAACTAATCGATTAACAGAAAAATGTTTTCCACATACTGAAAACAACAAATTCAGATCGGAAAAAACGATTTCCCTTTTTGCCAAAAAGGAAATCATTTTTCTTTAACCACAAAACAAATGAAAATTATCTATTTTACTTAAAAAAATATTTTCAAGAAAAATCTTTTCCTTTGTCGCGAAGTAATGAACGAAACAAACACGCCTTGAATGAAGAAATTCACAAGTATAGGTTTTTTCATTAGCATTTTGCAATTATATTTTAGTCAATTTGAAAACCCAAAATGGAATCGTTGCTTTAAAATAGCCGTAACTATTTCAATTTAATTTCAAACGGTTACGATTGAGTCGCGATTGGAATATTTTCCATGCATCACACTTTTTGGAACAAACTTGATCTTCAAGATCACACCTTTTGGAATAAAGATTATCGAGATTTGTTTTCATACTTTTTCATACGATAAAGTCGTCGTTCTGTCACAAGAAACGATCGGATCGATGGTCCACAATTGACCCACCTAATTTTCTTTTTCATTCTTTTCTTATCCAACGAAATGCAATGTAAACACAAATATTACCCCAGTAAAATTGCAAAATTTAAAATTATTATCAGCAAGTGCTCTTCTTTTTTGGGTAAAATTCTTTACCTAGGGTCAATAAAAGTATATAGCGCATAAGGTGAGGGCCAAAAAGCACTGTACAAAATAACGGACCTGATGTGACTAGTCATAATCGAACGGCCATATTTCACCACCAGGAGGAGGTGCCGACAGTGATGACACGTGGGAAAAGATTAAAGGCTCCAATCAGAAGGAGCTCTCCACGTGGGAATCAAAGCTAAAAAGACGAAAAAAATATTTGACCTTCGCTCGGTCCCCCCCAGGCGGTAAATAATTACTGCAGCCTTAAATTCGAGAATAAATGATTAAATTACTTTCTTTTTTCTCCCCTTGCTGAACAATAATCTTCTGATAGTGCTACGTAATAGCCCATGAAAGTTTTTTATTTTGTTCTTTATTATCTGCAATTCATTAGGAAATTATACAAATATTATCATCGGAGACAGAAAATATTTTGGCACAAGATCTAATTGTGCTCCAATCTGTCAAGTAAATTTTGTTTATTATTTCATCCGCGATTATTCTCTTTGCTGTCAATTGGACCAACTTAGCCGTTTTGCATTCACCCAGCTTTTATATATATATATATCAACTTTATTTTTCCTTTCCGAACTACCATTTCGTAAAAAATTAAAGTTACCCACCGCTCTGTTTTCATCAATTAACTATTCGAGTCATAAACATTTAACAACTGTCCATTTACAGATCCATTGAATTCATTAATCACTCGATTACTTCCACAAAAAAAAAACGGTCAATTTATCTTCATACGTAATTAATCCACCCGGAATCACGCACATGCCTATTCCAACACTAGTCGATAACTAGGGAAAATCGGGTAATTCCTCGCGTGCCTGGGCAAAGTCGAAACTATTCGAAGAAAGGCGTGTAGGCTAACTCCATCTCGCGCGCCGATCGACATCAAGAGCGGCAATAGAGAACCCCCAAGTCTCGCGTACGGTCAATTTCACGAGCAAAAAAAATCTCATGCCCACATCACCGGTCACATGCAACGTGTCGAAAAGGAGTTACTTAGGACATGCATCCCACCATTTATCCTTTAATTAGTTAAATATGTCGAGCTAACGTGGCATCACAGTAAAAACAGAGTCGCCCCAAGTAAAAGTTGTGTTTTTTTATCCGCCACGCAATGGACCATCAAAATATAAATTCGTCTTCCTCACCGCCTCGATGTGCATGTATTTATGATTTCTTAATGAAAAGAGACAAGATCAGAGAGCAAGGGAAGGTCAACTGTGTTGCCCCTGCCCTCCATAAATTCACGGGGGGCAAAAGCTAAGAAACCACCCAAGAATTCTGAGGCAAAAGGACACATCTCGTTTGACGACGAACAATTGGCGAACGGTCTGAATCGAGCATCTCTTCCTCATCTCTTCTTCTCCTTCTTTTATTAGATTTATTTATTTTCTATCGTTTTTTCTAAATGCCGTAAGGCTTGACGTAAGGCTTATGTAATTTGGAATTCGGGTCCCACTTTGGGAGTTCTTCCATCGCAAGGGACAATTATAGAACGGAATCCTTCCACGCGTTCAATCTTATAACGGAAGAATTGTCCAAAAAGTCGTAAACTTATTATACTTTTGTCAATTCAATCCTAAAACTTTTTAATTGTGCCAATTGAGTCTTAAAACTTTTCGCATTTCGTCAATTGAGTCTATTCGGTCAATTTTGGCCGAAAATCGCTAACATGAACATCGGCCGTCCTACATAGTACGACCAATGCTGACGTGAACAATTTTTAATAACATTTTTCGATTTTCTCTTCTTTTCTTTGTTTTTATTTTTGCAACTTTGCTGGCCGACCATCGCCGGCCATAGGCAAGGGCCGGTGACCCTCACTTGGTCCGGGCGAGGGCGTTGCGGCCCTCGCCTAGATCTGGTGAAGAGATGACGGAGCAATCATCTAGCTAGCGCTCGGAGAGGATGAGGCACTGGGAGGGGATAGGGGTCCTGGAGATCTCGAAGATGCGGCGCTTCATGGAGAGGGCGTCAACGTGCGAGGTGTTGAAATTGAGGATGAAGGTTTTGGCCATCGATCAACTTCACGAAGAACTGGAAAGGCCTGGAGGATTCTGTGGAGGTTTCCATGGTTGATTTGATTTCCCTCTATGTGCGTATGAACAGAAGAGGGAGAAAAAAATTGGCCGAATTGACTTAATTGGCAAAACGTGAAAAGGTTTAGAACTCGATTTGACAAATTGAAAGGTTTATAAATGAATTAGTAAAAGTGCAATAAATTTATAACTTTTGAATAATTTTCTCGATTACGATTGATATAAAGCCCTGTCCAATCAGACCTCAGCGGTGCGGGTCAAACCGGTCGGCCCGTATTGGATAACCTTTGGTGATGCGGTATTTATCCCGTTTCGCACATCAAATTGGACACGGAATACATATCTTACATTGCGAATTATCAATACGGGCAAAAAGAATCGAAATTTGCGAAAAAAAAAAAAAATTAGCCATCTACTCATTCTAATCTTGTATATTTTGTTCCCTATGTAACGTCTGAGGCTAAGATGAGGATAATTTGATACATATAGGGATAAAGAAGTCATCCAAAAGCCACCAAATTTTGCCATGGATATGGATCGAGACTAGAGGGGGTCACAATTAGCAATAGTTTGAAACTTGGGGGTTCAAATCTCTCTGTGCAATTGGACCCTTAATTTGAACTTTCTGCCCTTTAGTGGGCGGTCAGTGTTGATCCGATTTCACAGCAATCTCTCTCTCTCACTCCCTCTCTAAAAATATTTTTGGTGGCAATAAATAGGAAAAACTCAATTTTGATCATTAATTTTTTTTTTATTTTTGCTAAAATTTTGATCATTAATTGAACACGAGGGCGGGGGGGGGGGGGGAGGGGGGGGCGGCCTCAGATGATGCAGCCCCCCCCAAATTGAATGGTCACTTTCCGCTATAAGTGTGGGGATGCGGTGGGACCATTCTTATTTTTTCGAATTTTTTTTAGTATAAGGTTTGGACCGTTTTGATTTTCAATCAGCCCCCCAACAAAATTCCAGCAATCCTTTTTTGTTGTATCCCTGTGTGCAAGTTATGGCGAAGAGACGTTTTTATTTAGGGCCGTGGCTTTGATTGACAAGTTGCAAACAATGAAAACCAGCAAAAGGCCGATCCCTTTGCGCAACATATGAAAGGGGACTCGCCATTGCCATTGCCATTGCCATTGCCATTGCCATTGCCACCATCCAACCCCACACCTTTTAGGTCCACTACCTAGATGTGCTTTCGTATGTTACTCTTTTGGTGTATGTATGGGCGTGGAAGATGAACTTAAAAGAAAGATTGTCGTATAAGAGACGCGTGCCGTGTGCTCTTTTCCTTCGTGTCGAAACTGACAGGGAGAATTATAAAAAAAAGTCCTAAATCTATCGTAAATGTGCGAAATCTATATACATACATATATATTGTTGGTAGGTCATGCATGCATGAGGGGAATACGTCATGGACGATGCATGCATGAACACAAAACCATGGGCTCTTTCCCGACAACGTATCCTATTCAACATAGAGACAAACGGCCTCCTCGTCGATATCCCCCCATGATTAGCCTATTCAAAATCATTTGGGTCCTCGTCACTCTTCATATCCGCAACATTGATTGAAAGGACAGATTGTTTTTTGCCTAATGCGTCTGGCACATATGATGATTTCGGATCCTCTGGGTACGAGTTTCTCGCAACTACGCACGCAATACGTGTCGAGAAAACTCGAACACGACACAACAAAGCACGCCCTCGAGCTCGACTCATGTGTGTATCGGCAAGAGGTGACGTGTTTATGTAGAAACTCAATCCCTTCGGGTCATTAAACAAGAAATACAAGGATGTCGTGATGCCGGCATGAAATGTCCCGATTGTTGTTAATTCGAGTCTTCTATGTTTTCGAGTCTAGGGTTAAACGGTGGTGAAATTTCTTGCGGTGATGTTTACGAGTTTCGTTACATGGCTCAAGACTCCAAGGTGAAGTGACGATGGGCTTGGTTCGCGGCCGCAATGGACGATCAGATACCATCTGAGCAAGTGATGTTCTGTCCTCAAGCCCAGGACTGTATTAGCACCAGCACTTCTATTTTCGAAAAATGACATGAATGGACCATGTATTTTGATGTAATGTGCGACATCGTCCCTGAATTTTTAATTTGTTCAATATGGTCTCTCTACTTTGGTCTAATATGCAATATCGTACTTGAACTTTGTTCAACATGATCCCTGAACTTTTAAACATTTTCATATAGTGGGACTACATGGAACATTTACCAGAGACAACATTGCACATTGGGCTAAAATTCAGAAATCACATTGCACATTAGACCAAAATTCAATGATTATTTGTGCTATTATCCCTTCTATTTTCTACGCACACATCTCCTCCAATCCGCCGAGCTTCAAGGCTCAGAAGAAAGTTTCAGCTGATAGTAATGGCAATGGGACCAAATAATTTAGAATACAAAGAACCAGAACCGCAGTTCTCAGAGCCATACGCATTCAGAAAACTAATCTCCTACATTCACGAGGCACTTACTGTTATGAGTGATTACAGGACCTCGAACGACCCTTCAACACTAGCAACTCTTAATTTTTATTACGTGAGGCACTGACTGTTGAAGACCGGATTTAGATAACTAGTGTACTTTGTCTTGAATTCACATTAACTAGTATCTGCTTCTCGGGGGGAAAAAGAATCGTTTCTTGGCTTCCAAGTGAATTTCTCAGACAGAACATCAGTCTGACTTGTGACGCAACCGCGGCATAATTCGATAATCTTTGGATTGCTTTGCTACATTTCACATTATGCAAGTTACATTTGCTGCACTCTTAATTCTTGAGCCCTGTCCGGCAGAAAAATGATTTGAGAGAGCTGACTTCGTGATCATTAGCTTGCCATCGACTTCCATTACTGGGATGTGTGAGAGAGAGAGAGCTTACCTGGTGATCATTACTTTCTCGGTTGCAAAGTTTTCAATCTAACAATCAATTCCTGCGGCTAATATCGCAAGATCGTGTACTACATCGAGCATGTTGAAGTGAAAATAGGGACCGACACCCTTAAATTCCTCAGAGAAGGATATTGACAAGAGCTCCTTTATATATGTATAGCCAACGTCCTCCAATGATTGGCTTCTGCTTGATGGATGAATGAGCCCAGACCGGATCCATAGATGACTTAAGAACGAGTTAGCATGCGAGAAATTTTTGCAAAAAAATTGAACAAAAGGCAAAACACTGCTTCAACTGGGAGGGCAAATGATCATAATTCCACATAAGTACAGGTAGAATGCCATCCTCTGTTTGTCACAATCTCCTAAATATTGATCTTACAAGTACCCGATGTCCTTCGCTATCTTTGGCATACAGTAAGCTTCCCAATGTTTTCACAGCAAGGGGAGCTCCTCGACATTTTGCGACGATTTCATTCCCAATCTGCTTGAGATCAGGATGTAGTTTCTCCATTCTTTCTTTGATCACCCTTTCTTGAATAAAGACATGGAAGTCTTCATGAGAAAGGCCTTTGAGGTTGTATGCTGGAAAAGAAGTCAATCGCACCTTTCCACCCATGTTGCCGTACAGATTGTTGACTTACTTCATGAAAACTTCACAGTGAATTTCATCAAACAAGTCCTCGCCAGCCATCGCATAGCACATCTTTAAGTTGGCCTAACCAAAGTCTTAGCCAGTGCTTGTCTGCCTGTTTGTTCTCAGCATCTAAGAGCACCGCCTTAATCGTGCTCGAGGTATGCTCGAGCTTCCAGAGTTGACTTTTGAGGACAGAGGCCAAGAGAACCACTTCTCGGAGGACAAGAGAGACTGGCTGCACAAGCATTCTCTCGCAATGCTGAGAGACAAACGATGTGGCCATGTTTGATCAGAGTAAAAGAGTAAGGTGTGGGGATGTACTAGAGAGACCGTTTCTCTGATGAAAGAAGGAATGCTTTCATATAAAGATGATTCAACTGCAAAACTAAATTCAAAAACAGTGCTAGACATGTAGAATGACAAGACAGACTAATTCAGCTTCCATATTATCTACTTGTTTAAATACTCATTCGCAGTTTGTTGGTAATTTCATAAACTAGTATGACAAATGAATTACTGTTTCCCTAATACTACTCTTAGTGTATTTGTTCTAACCCAGTCCCGTTTGGTTGCTGTACAATCGTCAGCCCAGCGAACCATCAATGGTCATCAATCTGACCAAACTACAGTGTTATTGAGTGAGGAACGTGTAAATAAGTCATTTGTCAAACGTAGTTATCGTTTTTATCATTGGCAAAACGCTTGCTATAAAATAATTGATTGGAGTTTTTCATGTTGTTGCAGAGTGCCGGATCTTCATTGATTGAAGAAAGAGTGATGCTAGGGATATGCTTCAGCGTAATCATTGTGGAAGAAATCCAGCCTTGAGCAGAAAAACAAGTTGATGTATGAACTCGGAATAAAATTATGAAAGTCATAATCTTGGCCTAGCAATCTTTGGCCAATAAGCAAAACAAATGGGAAAGAATACAAAAATCAGTAGCACTCCTAATCCCTCCAGTACAAACACTCCCGCAGTCAAACTAAACCGTCCTTTTTATCACCCACAAGCCTCAATCCTGGGCTCAAAGGAGAAGGCAGACATGAACTCCATCACTTCACCCTTCATATCACATGTTGGCAATTCAATCCATTCATTGCCAACAGAATCATAAAGAATGTACCTAAACAGCTCGCTTGAATTCAAGCATATCAATATCCGGTCACCAGCCCCAAGGCAGTTTATGTCCACCTTCTTGCCATAAAATTCATGGGCCATGGCCGGTGGCATTGCCCCGATTTGCTGCCAAGACCTGTTCCCTTCGTTGTATCGCCACATCCTGAGGCTTGCACTCTCGAAAAATTCCGATAAGACCACGACTATCATCTCACCTCTGCACTCCACTATGTCAACGGAGTACTCGGACCAAATAGGCAGTAGCCTCGGGTACTCGGAGAAGCACTTGCTTGTCAAGTCGCAGGCCACAACTGTCCCCGAGGAGCTTAGGAAATAGACAATCTCATGACCATTCTTGATGGTCATAACTGAGGAATATTGCTTTGATGGGCTTCTGAGCATATAGGTAGCCACCAGATTGCCTGCCTTACTAAGGAAGTAGACAGCATCCTCTTCGATCTCCCCAGAATCTTCGTGATTTTTGCTGAGCGGATTACCGTCATCCCATCTATTGAGTGCCGAATTGAAGGTTTTGAAATAGACCCTTGGGAATTCACCACACACCAATACAAGCTTGAAAGAATGGTAAGGCCCAGGACTTGATTGCATCACTATGGCATGAATTGTTTGGTTCTCAGTATGTGGGAGCTCACGGAAAGACCCTGTCACGGGATTGGACACGATGAAGTTCCCGGAAGCATTTCGGAAGCAGATCAAGCCACCAGATGAGGCCACGGGCATAAAGCTGAGGTCCTTTCGGAGGAAGGATGGGTGATTGAGTTGCTTCCACTTGGATTCGGCCGAGTCGAAGACGACCGATTTGTTGAGGCATGAGCCAACCATGAAGAAACATGGCTCACGGGAAGGAATCTCAGAGCAGGCGAGCTTGAAGCTCGTGGAATCAGCAACCGACTTCCACCTCTTGCAGACCGAAGTGAGGCGGAAGAACGCAGAGGTTGGTAGCCGCGAAAGCACCTTTTCAAGGAGGTCTTGATTGAGATCATCCAAGTCCAGGGTTCCATGATCTTCTTGGTATTCAAACTTCCTCTTTCGACTCAATCTTGAAGCACACAGATCATGGCTATCCATGTCGAGTAGCAACTTGTGGAGAGAAGCCTGCAATTACAAGAAAAGATAAGTGAAGTTATAAGCTACAGGTTATGCTTTAGTCTCTGTACCATATGCTCTTGGATGAATTAAAAAAGGAGCTTCAGTTAAGATTCGAGCGGAATCTTTAAGAAGTGAAAACAATATGCATGGTAAAAATAAGCATCTATCCACTAGTATCTACTTGTTAATTAATAGGCTTTCATTAGTTGAAGATAGCACAATGCCTCAAAGGTTCATGATTGGAGAACTTTTCATGGGAAAAATTGACCCTTCAGATTTGCCGAAGCGATCAGATTACTCCAAGCAAAGAGTGACCACTGAAGACCAAACTTCAGTGTGCTGTGGACTAGGAGCGATGAAATTTCAGCTCACACAGAAGAAGAATCAGTTAGAGAAGCTTCATCTTGAAACACTGACTTAGAGCAGGAAGAGGTAAGACAAACATGACCATCACCCACAAGCAGAAAACCAAAAAGGAAGTAAATTTAGCAAAAAAAAAATTTTCAGTACCCAGGCTCAAAGCAGCAAAAAGGAAGAGCCAAGCTCAAGAGCAGATGGAAAAAGTACCTGCTTGTTTGCTGCTGCCAGTTCTTGCTGCTACAATGGAAGTCTTGATCAGAAAGAACACAGAGAGAGAGAGAGAGAGTAGTGAGCACTGAGCAGTGCAATGTGATAGAGAAGTATTGGAGGGGGGCTTTTGGGGGTTTTAAAGAAGAATGGGGGTTGGACTTTGAAGAGAGAGACAACAACCCAACAAAAAAGTGGAGTGGGAGAGCTTGTGGAGGAAGAGTGCCAGGAAGGTTCCTTTTTATGCTCACTTCTCCCTTCTTGTTGGGTGTTGACACCAGTATTGGTGTAGTGAAATAGTGAGTTCTGCGTGCGTGCGCGCGCGCGCGCGCGTGAGAGAGAGAGAGAGCGAGGGAGAGAGAGAGAGAGTCCACCCACAAACAACAACAAAAAGAGTCCACCCACAAACAACAACACACGGGTGGTTATTGATTCTTGTTTAAAGAACCAAAAGGAAAAGAAAGACGATTCTTGTTCACGGGCATGTCTTCCTTTCGTATAATTTTCTTTATCTCACCAGGTTGGACCTGCGTGCTGTTTTGACTTTTCTTTTCTCCCCCTTGCTACAGCTACTGCTGACTCTAGCTACGGATGGCCTCGGATCCGGGTGTTAGCTCCCGACCCAGAAACCCAAAGCCTCAAGCAAAGCCTGCGCAACAATGTCAATGTGCGCACTTTATCTGAAAAAGAAAAGATGAGCGTAGTGTGCGTGTGAAACAGCGACGAGGAAAAAAGGGGGAGGAAAAAGAGAAAGGGGTAGGGCTTGGTTTCAATTTCTTTCGCATGTCAAGGGGGGCATTCCTGCTAAAGAAGGAGGTGAACATATGTTATTTAATGAGTAGGGTTCTTGGTTCTGACCTTTGGAAAGCCAAAGGAGGAAAGGATAAAAAAGCAAAGGCGAACCAAACTTATGCTTAACTTTGAGCCTCGTTGAGGAATCTTTCGGCTGCGTCTGCAAGTCAAAATGCCCAGAATCCAGGGCCATCGGCTCCTTCTCAGCTTCAGGAGAGAGAGAGAAGACGAGAAGAAGTAAAAAAATAGTTGTCAAGCAATTCATAGAAGAACAATAGGATTACGACACAAATAGTTCCTAAATTTTGGCTGAATGTGTAATATGATTTCTGAACTTTTAACTTATTCAATGCGGTGTATAAACTTTAGCCCAATATATAGTGTGGTCCATAAACTTATAATTCATTCAATATAGCCCTGAACTTATGGTACATGTTCAATTTAATCCTTGAACTAAATGAAAGTGTTCGATGTTGTCCTGTCATTAATTAAAGATCATGGACAATATTAAATATTTTTATATGATTTAGAGACTAAGTTGAATATGTATCAAAAGTTCATGAACTATGTCACATCGTACATTAAGTTAAAGTTCATGAATCATATTTCACGCTGAGTGAAAGTTTAAAAATCATTTGTGTCGATTTTCATACAAAAATAATTTGTTATTCTCAGATGAAATTAACAGGCTTCGAGTGCCGTCCTTTAACAAGACTCCAAAAACAAGAACGACAGATAAAAAAAAAAAACTGGGACTGGCCCCAACGGAGATGAACAGGGGCGAGAGATAAAGCCGCCGATTGCGATCTCTTTTCGCGCGCGGCCTCATATGCAAAGATGGGAGATGCTTAGTTTAAGTCCCCATGAGTGCAGAGATCTCGATGACAGCTGATCTGAGCCCCTCGATTAATAATAATTTCTTCGAACTCAAGAGGGTTCTTTTGTGCTTGTGCGCTGGTTTCAGACCCTTTGACTTTTAGCTCGCGGGTGGGACGATGCTGTCCGTTTTTTGGAGTCGATTTGTCCCTTTGTTTTTGGTCGTCGTCCTCTGTTCTGGCCCCGTGTTTCTGGGTCCTATGCTCCCCCTCGTACTTTGTTTCTTGGCCACCAGCGCCCTCTAATTCACATGTTCGCTCGATATAAGTAGGATTCGGCCGGTGCAGATAGATTGTAATACGGGTGACTGTTCGGCAGTTTTGTTGGGACCAACAGCTGCATTCAGTTGACAGAGAAATGTTCACGACTCGCTACATAAGTATCGACCACTCGGGTTCGTAGATATATAAGCGGTTATCGACGTATGGCTTAGGGCTGTACAGCCAGATCGGTTCTACTCAAAAACCGGTTGAATCTCGATTCCCAGTGAAGAACCACCCGAGAATTGAACATACTTGATCGAATTTGAAACTGGTCTCATAAAGTCAAAAAACCATAATTTTTCTCTTGATATATTTTTTTTCAGATACTTCGTGACTCTCTCGCCCTCGCTCATTCCTAACTCACCTTTGCTCGTTCAACCTCGTTTATCTTTTACTTTGAACGACTTTGTTGCTCATATTATTTTACTGTAAAAAAAATTAAACCAAAAAAAGGAACAAAAGAAAAACGGGTTCCCAGGGAGACCTTGGATCGGACCAGAGAAATAGAGTCGATTTCAAGGCAAATTCCTAGTTTCAAAAATTGAGAACCGTTTCTAACATGATAGGTTTCATGTTTCAGATGTTGAATCTACTCATCTTGGAACCGATCATCCCTAGGATGGCCAGCCTCGAACCAGCTTTCTTTTGAGAGTCGACTGATTGAAAGAAAGGATTGCGTTCAATTTAAAAGATAAACTCTCTATCTCGGATATTGGTCGCTACTTAACATGGGGTTTGGAAATTTTGAGTTTATGACATCACGAGAGATTCTTGAAGTCCGGACGGCAATATGGGGTGTGTTCAGGTTGGTGGTGGTGGTGGTGGTGTTAGACTAAAGCATAATTATTTATGCTTGTCCATTTATTTGGTCACTTCTTCTTTCCCCCTCCTTATCTAGTGTCTAGCACTTTGGACTAAGCAAGTTTAATTGTGCTCGAGTCTATCCAATTGATCGTGCCCATTATCGTTAACTCTGATATTTGTTATTAGGATTTATATTATGATTATACACAAAGCAATTCGTGAAAGGGGTTAAGGTTTTTATTAATTTAATTTTGGGTTCTAGATTTTGTTATTGGAGTCTAGGATTTCACTTTAATTAATTCATCGAGTGTCTTAAATGCTTTATTGCTTTCTTGGGGCTTTGACTCCATTGGAACCAAAAAAAATAAACGGGTCATTTTATAATCATGTGGGATCGATGGCTTTACATTTTAATCTAGTTTTCTTGGCAAGAAAATAACAAGCATAAGTCCAAAAATTACTCTAAACGGGCTTATAATCTGCGTTATGAAAAATGAATCATCGTTAAAAATAAGAACTTCACATGTGTCTATTTTTAAAAACTACTTGTCAAATATATTCGCTTATCACTTGTGTTGTACGTAGACTAAATATCGAAATTATTAACCACTTGTATTTCTAGAACCTCTCAACACCTTTGGATCCGCCTTAGGCCAAAGGCCTCTTGGAAATGCAATTGTATCTTCCCAAAACTCTCCAAAAAATTTGTCAAATGGTACTTTACACTCCTTAGGAAAGTGGTTCCCAAACGCACTATTAGAAGCCCAAAATCTCTTGAGAAAGCTGAACCAAACGCTGTATAAAACCTTTTGTTGGACCACTCGAGTCACATGTGGTAGTCATAGCAAGCTTATTATGTAATTCTTTTAGTCTTCTGATATATAAAGTGTTATTTATTGCTCATGACAATTTAGACATTAGTTTGTGTATCCTCCAATTTTCATTGTATAATCCCTGAAAGAGGTTTAAATGACAGTTTATGCAGTTCCATACAACTATACTTGATTGTGTTTGCCCTGATCTAGTGGAGTTTTGTGACTTGTGAGCTGAGAAGTTCGGTTGCATTGGATTTCTGTTCTCTCCTGTTATCCTCACGTCAGGGCGTTGAACAAAAATATCATCTTTTTGAGAGTAAAAACGGGGATAACTTGAAAAGAAGAGTGAAATCTCATGTTTTTGTAAAGAAACGACGCAATAGAAGTTATGCCATAGAGATGGAAATAAGATGAGTGAAATCCTCAAACCCCATCCTAACTCCAAAGAAAACAGTCAGTAAATTTCCAGTAAGTAACAGCTCCCTCTTAAACAACTGCAATGGAAAATGTCTCAGAGATTGAGCGGCCTTGAAATAGCACGAATCGATCTCTCAAACACAAAGTGTTCTGACAAGGCAAATGTAATGCGTTTTATAGTAAAGGACTTCAGAGCAATCATTTCCGTTTCGAGTACTCGGCAGGGAGTATGGATGTTACAGTTAACGGAATATATTGATCGGAATTGCGAATTTATCAAGTTGCCTTCTAGCATAAGAAGCCTTTCATCGTGTCACAGATTCCTCTGTCCAATTGTTTGAGCTAGGTTCGCAGCAAAGATTGAGTAGTTGCCTTGCAAGACAAAAGAAACACGGAACACATGATCTGCAGAAATAATGACCTTACATTGCACTGATCAGAAAGCCCAACGTATTTGAAAGCTTAACTCTAGCCGAATACAAGTTAAACTCAAGTCGTCCCACCAAATTCACATACGAGGCCATGGATGATGCATCGCCAGAAAGACACATAATTACAATATGAAATCCAGCTCTCGTTTTTAATGATTAAGGTTTTTTTGGATGAATCACATTCAACTTCACTCAGAACTGCATAAAGCTAAATGTTTGATATTTGAAGCCGAATCACATTTAGTCCTGATTTGCATCTTCTAGATCTTCATCCTCTGGGACGCCTCGAAGATACAGGACATTGTTACATCTGCAAAGAGGGAGCGGGGGCGTGTAAAAGAAGTGAAGCTTCTGAACACCGAGCTTACTCCACGAGAAAAACTCAGCAAACATCAAAATTTACAATTATATAAGTGCCCAGCTTACCCAAGTAGGAAAAAAAATGAGAGTATATGTTGACCACCCTAAAGGGTCCACATGCATGATGCAACAACTATCAAAATCAGAACTACTAAAGCATGCAAAGGCCACAGGGAAGGACAAATAAGGTCACTCATCAAGAGATCGGTTTTACTGCTCCTGTAATCTCCCGTTCTTGCTCAGGACAGACATAAAATATAACAAAGAACTTCAGCTTGCCAAAAATATTGATGAAGACTTCTTTTCTCCACCACGTTGGAAGTTACCTGATCAGAATCTCTCCCAGACTTCCAGTGAATTGTCCATCTATGTATTCTTCTGTGTTGGCAAGCTGCACAAGTTTTCAGATTAAGGAAATCCTTGAGAATGTTGACAATTACCAGGAAGAGCTACCAAGCCCATGAAGTTAACCGGACATGCAACCATCATAAAAGAATGTATTTACAAATCAGTCAGAAGGTACAAACCTGCAAATTCATGTAGGAATCCACCGAGACAAGAAAACCTACAAAACATATAACCGAAATCATACTAGGTTAGTCAACAAAAGGCACACTTACATCCGTAATTGCAGCTAAAGAAGCCCATCATATATTTATCGCAGGAAATACATAGTGGTAAAGTTTCCAATCGGAAAAGTTCAGAAGATTGCTGGAATTACCTTTGTATTCCATGCCCCACTTAAGCTTCACAATAACTGGCTTCCCAGTCAAGTTGTTCAAGAAAGGTTTAGGATTAACTGGAATAGTCTGCAGTGTATGGAAAACTAGTTATAAAGCGGATGAATACTATAACCACCAATTACGAAAGTTCAGTGACTCGATTGACGATCTCCGGGAGCATGGTATTAGTGGAAACGCCTCAAAATGGCAGGAGCGAATTCAACAGAAAATGGCAACAAACACCTCTTTTTTCTTTAATTCTGACTTAACAAGCAAAGTAAGCAATTTTCCTTACCAAAAAAAAAAAAAAACAAAGTAAGCAATTTCTATGCTTTCTCATTCTCTACTCGAGCATTTGCAAATCTTTAAAGGACAAATTTTTATCCAGAGAGAGAAGTGGGCAAACATATACTATGTTAGAGATCAACCGTGCGACTAAAGACTATATAGATTTAAACAGCTAGACATATTCATCCGAAAAGTAAAAGAGAAATCTCATGGAACAAGATTTGAAGGACCAACTTTCCGTATCCCACCGCATCACTCCGTCTCTTCGATACCGATATTCAATTCTTACACCAAAAATATTCAACCATTTTCGTCGGAGAAACAGCTAGAAACTGGCTAATATCATCAATTCCAGCACAGCTTAAGACCGAGCACGAAAACTCCCAACGAAAGTAAGAGCTTTCACCGTGAAAAGAACCAAGCAATGCCCATTTCGCTACAGCCTTCGAAATGCAATGTATCGACCTTCGAATGCACGAGAAATCGAAACAGATCCACCAAATTGCACACCACACGAGTCCATGCGTGAGACGTAAACAAAGAAAGAAAAGGACTCGCGAAGCGAATCAGAGCACTCACGGCCATCGGAAGAGGAAGGAGCAGAGGGAATTTTGGGGGGTTCGCAGAGAAGGAAAGGCGCGAGGATTCTCCTCCACTTGCGCAGCTCCGCTTGCCTCCGAATCGCGGGAAATTTTAGGGTTTTGCCAGCTTCAAATTTTCGTTGAAGAGATGAAGTTGGGTGGGCTTTTTACTTTCGATTTCCTCTATTGGCCTGCTACATGATGAGGTTGGTGAACCCAATGACGTTCTTTCACTTTTGAAAAATGACACAAACAATCATTGAACTTTAATAAATATTATTCCTAAACTTTTAATTCGTTCAATATAATTCCTAAACTCTAACTCAACATGCAATGTAATCCTCGAACTTGTAATTTGTTCAATGCGATTCCTGAACTTTTGGTACATGTTCATTTTCATGTACGAAAAGAAAACTTGCTTGTGTTTTCCCTAAATATCATCAAATCTTAAATAAATTTTTATCAAATTAAATTCTCGCAACTTACATACTTTTATAGATTGTAAATAATTTATGTTTTTTAAGTTATGGGACCCAAGCTCTGATGCTTAGGTCCCTTGGGGTGCTTGAGCTCGAGCGCCAAGGTCTTGGACCCAGTCAGAAGAGGACCCAAGCAAGGCCATTGGGGCCATTGGGGTTCGAGGGCTTGGACACCACTGCCAAAGGCCTGGGCACGAGCACCGAGGTCTTGGACCTAGTCTTGAGGGACCCAAGCCCGATCACCAAGTCTTGCATTTGAGTGCCAAGGATCCTAACTCGGGCGTCAAGCTCGATCTTAGGAAATTTGGGTTCGATTGCTACGGTCCCCAAGCCCAAATGTGGAGACCATGGTTGCAGGAGCTAGAGTTTCTTGGGCCCGCCACTTGGAATCCAAGCACCAGTGCCAAAGACTTTCTGGTGCTTTTGGTTTGGCTTTTGAGGAAAGTCTTTGAGAAAAATGCAAAAGACTTGAAGTCAAAGGAGTTTTTCGAAATACAAGTAGTGTTTGGTAAATTACAGTTTAAAAATGGATTACGAAACAATTTTATTTCAATTGATGTTTGGAAAAATCACACTTTGTAAACGACTTTTGTGAATGTTCTTTTAAAGAAAAATCTCAAAACCTGCGAAGGGCTCAACGGTAGGGCGACGGCCTACTAACGGCCTGTTGGCAGCTAAGCCCTTCGCTGGCGACATCGTATGAGGTGAGGACAGTTCTGAAATCAGAAAAGTTTAGCGAGGGTAAAGTTGGAAAAAAATATATTAGCATACCAGAAATGCTCAAAGCCTAAAACATCTCCGCAAATTGAAACAAATCCACCAAATTGGGCTTAGCCGCCGGCAAGTCGCCGAGCCCTTCACCAAATTTGATATTTTATCTTTAAAAAATCAACAAAAGTTCTTTGCAAAGTGTGATTTTTCCAAACATCAGTTGAACCAAAGTTGCTTCCTAATACATTTTTAAAACTCGATTTTACCGAACACTGCTTGCGTTTTCGAAAAACCCCTTTTAACTTCACCTTATTTTCCCCCCGTGTTTCACAGTTTTCACGGCCGGGTATTCAAATTTCACATTGAAACTCAGCTATATCTAGATCCTTCACCCAATGTGGAGGGAGCATTGGAAAAAACTCCCATTGCATTCTCCTCCTCCTCCGTCTTCATCCTTCTCCAAGCACAAGAAAGCTACATCCTCCTTGCCGAACTGGGCCCAATCTTCAATTCAGATCGTTCCCCCCAAACTGGGCCGAACCAAAAATCGCGCCTTTCCACGTCCCACCGCTCCAATTCCTACGCCAGAACCCAGAAAAATCGAGTCTTTGCACACGATACTTTCACGAACTACAACGTGTGCAAATGCAAACGCCGTAGGTACCCACGACAACAAAATGGCGCAGAATTTGCTGACGCTCCGCAACTCGCAGTCTTCTCTGCTCCTCCTCCCACGAGAGCTCACCTTCTCTTCCCTGCGGCAACACCCTCGAGCTGCCCGATCTCGCCTCCAGTTCTCGCTCCCCGGGACACCCATTTGCTGCAACTTGAGCGCGAGGCCGAACCGCTCCGTGGGTCTTAAAGCTCCGGGGGTTCTGTCGGCGGATTCCGCGACTTCGGCGGGCGTACTCACCGTTGACCCGGAGGGCAAGGGCGTAGGCGCGGAGCCGGACGCGACCAGCGGCGGCGGGTTCGGCGATTTGGGCGACGGCGGTGGAGGCGGCGGAGGAGGCGGAGGAGGAGGAGGAGGAGGAGGAGGAGGAGGCGGTGGTGGTGAGGGAAAGGGCGAGGGCGAAGGGGGGTCGTCGGAGGACGGTAGCGAGAAGAAGCCGGGGATGTCGATGTCGCAGAAGTTGACCCTGGGCTATGCTGCACTCGTTGGAGGTGAAAGTCATGCCTCGCGTTTAGCTTTTCCTTGATGTCGTTTTTACAGTGTAATTTCATTCGATGGTTTCTTTGTTTGCTGTTTATTAGAGACTGTTACCTCCTATATTTTGTTTCTCTTTGTGCTGGTTAGGCATTTAATTTAAGGTTAATTTATGGAGTTGGATTTGAGCTTATGGAGTCTTGAGCGTGGATTGTGTCGAAGTTCTCTTTTCATTGGTCTTAGTATGATTGAAGGGATAGGCATCTTCATTGTGAATGTCATGTGTTGGTGTGTGTGGAATCAATAGTTGCATTTCCATGGCTGACTGAACTTAATCTCGTAGGGAGGCCATTAATCTGCGGATCATATGTTAGTGTGTCGAGAATTTAATTTAGTAGTAGTAATGACGTCACTAGTCATATCACTTTCGCGATGACTAATTAAGCTTCATATCTGATGTCACTTGGGCTCCATAGTTGGAAGAGTAGGCAAGGTTTGACAGAAACTATTGGGATGAAATGTCTTAAGTAATTACATTGATTGTTACCGAGGGATTTCAATAACGACTTGTTAGATTGAGTAGACAACTATTGAGACGGTTGTATTTCTGCTTTGCTGTTGATACACTCTCTGTAGCCATCGTAAGAAAAATTTGCAGACGATGATTTCTGATGGATTTACAATTCATTTGTAACTTAGATTTGCTCAGAACAGTGGAATGACCTGTAATTGCATTAGCTAAATAACCAATACAGAAATGATGAAGAACAGTTCATCTCACATTAGCTGCTTTACAAGTTGCAGTATTGCGGGGATATATGTCGGTCATACAACTTTTGAATATCTTCGACATTTTGAATAAAGCAGCTCTTGTCAGTGTGCTTTCAAGTTTCCTGTGCTCTCGCAAGATCTCTTGCAGCAACACGTCTTCCTTCTTTATAATCCTCCATAATTTTGCTGTGTTTGCTTTTCTGGATCTGGAGTTCTCCTCCTGTTCATCTTGCAGTTGCTGCCTTGATCTAACCATGGTTCATCTTTTACAGTGGGTGGAGTCATGGGGTATATGAAGAGTGGAAGTCAGAAGTCTCTTGCTGCTGGAGGTCTGTCAGCCGCAGTATTGTACTATGTCTACACTCAGCTTCCATCTAATCCAGTTTTTGCATCTTCTATAGGGCTGGGTGAGTGATCTTACTTGCTTCAGAATTGTTAAATTTATTCTTCCTAGAATGCTTCAAAATCATTTGCTTCATTGACTTTTGCAAAAAATGGAGAAAAAGGTTCTTCCATATTGATTTTGGGTTGCGTAATCTAAACTATCGATGGACGAGGAGCCTATATTCCTTCTGTCACAAGTGACATTTGGGCCCTTTTGTTTTTTTTGGATAGTACATCTAAATAATAACTATGGTTTTTGAAAGGGACATTCATATTACTATAAATTGGCAAATGTTTGATATTTGGCTTTAATATTAACGAAGGAGACAAGTGTCTTGAGAATTTCCAAACTTCTCAATTGTCTAGCAGCTGCAGCATTTGGCTTTCCTCTAGTAATTTGCTGCTTGCCAGTGCTGCCTTAAAAAGAATTAAGCGTTCAGAACTTTATCACCACATAAGCTTGAGCATAATTGTAGTTTCTAGAAGTTCTAAGTAATTTTCTGGAGCAAGCATCTCACCAGATCTGGGTGATATTGTGCACCGAGTTACTTGAATTATCCCGGAAAAAGCTTGGAAGATTATGAGGACCGGGGTAATTAGATTAAGTTTATAAAAGAGGACACTTCTTAGGATATTAACAATGTTATTTGCATTCCTCTTCTGTTGCGTCTTTTCTTCTCCCTTCTTCTTTTATGATGAAAAATTATCCTCTTACATGTGTGTTTATGATTGAGACTTGTATGTACCTTCTCGATTTCCAGGTATATCAGCTGCCCTTCTGGGAGTAATGGGCTCTCGCTTTAAGAAATCAGGGAAGATATTCCCAGCAGGTGTAGTATCCGTGGTCTCTCTGGTTATGACTGCTGGCTACTTGCACGGAATTATGCGGAGTGTTCACTAAGATTATCATATGTCCAGTTGAAGCGGTTGTCCGTCCCCTCTTCGTTTGTTTACTGAGATAAAAAGGAAAACAGCAGCTGTGTCTCATAGCTAGTGTGTCTGTTTTATGTTACAGTCAAGACCATTATCACAGCTACATACTTCGGTCCTTTTCTCTTGTTCTTTGTGGTTTTTTTAATCGAACTCATCATGGTTAGTCTAGCTCGTATGGTCAGTTGACCTTGTTTTTGTTTAAACGAGAACAGTGCTGTGGCGGATCAGACTATGTTTCTTCTTGTGGAAATTGCGAGTCTCTGAACCTTCTGTTACTGCGTTTGCTGCTCCATTTCCTGTTTCCAAGCATTCGTGTCTTTATTTTGTTGTCAAGTACGGATTTGATATTCGAAGAGTTGGGCATCATGCTTCTTGCCGTGGTTGAATCATATAAATGCATGCTAGGAGAGAATGGAGGAGTTTCTGCAGCTAGATAACAGATGCTTTCGTATCAGGAATTTTGTTAGGTTCGTTGCCGGTCGAGGAATGTTTTTATGCATGTATTGATCTGATGACAGTATAGAAATCGGGTTATCATGCCCGGCTTCTTCCGTACATATCATGTGATCCAAATGGTGTGAAAAGATTTGTCTCCGCTGGCTCGGTGAACTTAACATTTGCTGGTTACTCGCCGTGCGCTCCTTTCGTTTTCACCAGGTTTGTCCATAAGAGCTTGTGTTGCGTGGATTCGCACACGAGAGCGAGAGTGTGTGTGTTTGTGCGAACGAGCGTGAGAGAGAGGGACAGGATCGTATCCTTAAATCACGATGAACCAAGGAAGCACCCTGAATTTCTTACCTATAGCTTTGGACAAATGCAAGCACATTAAAGACCTAAAAGCGAATATAATGGGAAGTGACAACTGTTTCAATGAATTAATAAAGAGAGCATGCGCCAGCCAAATGCATTTTGCCAACTCACCCCCCATCAACACAGAAGCAAGTCACCTATCCGAACAGTTCCAATTACAGAAATCAGTATTAATAAATACTATTTAGCCAGAAAAACGACAAAAGAAGATAAAGGAAAAGGAAAGAAATCAACCACCTAACACCATGTTTAAGCAGACAAAAGATTTCAACTGCCAAAGCCAACGTGGAACAATCATCGCCTATCCGAAGCACTATCAGACATTATCTACACGTGATGATATTAAACTCCATTTTAGAGACCAACAATGCTGTTGGGTGAGCTTGAGCAAGATTATGAAAGTACATTACATTACACGGACAAAGGAAGACGCGACTACGTAGCCATCCTTCATTAATACGACGGCGATCAGAAACTAGTAACATGTTCGTGTCCTAAGACAAGTCATACATCAGAGTCCAACATGCTTTGCATTAGTGCAGCTGACACAGAAACATCCGGGGTAACAACACCGGCACACACGCACAAACACGCGAACGAACATTAGATACATAATGACACAAGACATGTTAACGCTATAAGATAGATAAAGCTCATGCAAGCAGCGCTGTGGCCTTCAGCTGATTCTCTTCCTGAGGCACCAGGGGCTTTTCACCACAACTGACATCAGAGGAAGCCATCGTTCCGAGACCAATTTGTTTGTCTTCAGCCAGTTTTGATCCTGATGGATTTGCATATGGTGTCTTGTTCACCAACCTGCCCCCAAATGGAAAACGAAACGGCACAAGAAGAACAACTTACTCAGCTTGTTTTACCCAACATTTAGTTGCACTGATCAGATGCATATGTGATGGAATAAAGTTCTGCTGCTAAAGGTTGGATAAAGTATGATTCTGTTTAAAGCTTGATCAATCTATCACTTCAAGCTTGCCTATAGAAGGCAACAAGTTAAGAACGGTTGCCATTCACTTGTCTGTGAAATTAAATATCGAATTTTGGGACGAAGAAATGTTTTTATGATGTTTCAAATAGAGAGAAAGCTTTTGCTTTCCTTCATACCTATCCCGCCGTTTCTCAAAGAACCGCTGCAGGGAGTGCCTCCTTGCAATTGGTAAATCTGACCCAAGATGTGCAAACAAGGAACTAGTCAAGCTACAGTCGTCATTATGGCCCATAAAAAAGCTAAAGATATCATATTATGACCATCAGGAATGTAGTTGCTATCAATTAGTCAGAGTCTTGTGAGCAGATTATTACCAGCTTGCAATTTGCAAAGCGGGTTTTGCTGCATTGGGTGGATCTGAGGCTTGGGTGAAGCCAAAGCAGTGGCAGTACTTTGCAGTGAAGGGGACCTTGTAAGAGCTGGTGAAGAGGGGCCGTAGCTCCCGCTGCTCTTCATATCCCCAGGCTTAGCCGCTGCCGCAGCAATTAGCATGATTTCACGGACCTAAACATGCGATACATTATCTTTATCAACATGAAAATCAATATCAGTAGTTTAAGCTTGAGGAGAGGCCAACCTTTTCTGGCGGGATTGCATCAAACACGCTGACATTTCCACCATAAAAGATGGTAAGCTGAGTTGACATTGCCGCAGCCCTAAAAATATCGAAGGCAATATAGTTCACAAAATTGATCGAGGAAATTTATATTAGGATTGCACATCCAAAACAAAAGAAGTAACCATTAATCAGAATATCGTGCAGACATTGGTGAGAATCTGTTTCTAGGGTTAGTTCAAACCGGAGGATTAGGACAAAGGTAAATGAAGGAAGCATCCGCTGAATTACTGCTTGACCTATTAAATGCTCAAACTAGACTCCAAAAAACTTTCGTTGCTTGAGGTAAGAACAACAGAGAATCTTTCCCTTTAATTCATATAATAATTGGAATGTTATGTATTGTCTTCTTCATCCAAGAAGGTTCCTACCACAGACTCTGACTAACCAACAAGGAAACTGCCAACCTACAGGACGCAAAAAGCTATCAGACAACACAATGATCAAAGCCGACGACCCTCTTTGATGAGCACTAACAAAACATTCCGATCTTGAGTGAAATTCACTCGCATACGGGGGACAATACGAAATTGATAAGCCATCACTTAGGGAATCTCCTCTTCTTTCAGCAATATGCTCCTGCATGACTGGAATGCACCTTTTTCTTTGTCAAATTTACAAACAAACTTCAAGTTCTTTTGACCAAATTGTGAACAGTGGCCGCCGACAGGCCCACTCATGAATAACCCGAGGTCAAAAGGCAACATCTTTGTTTGGTTGGTTCAACCAAATCCGTGCCCCCATTTCTTCTTCCCCAGTTTTTCCACAGTTTTATCAATCAATCCCCTTCAATTGCTTCAGATTAGCCAGATGGGTCACTTAACCACTCTCCCAAAAAAAGGGGAAAAAACCATCTTTCAACTCTCCGTCAAAACACTCTCCTGAGACCACCATTCGAATTATTCTTCTCCACCAAATAATAATTTTACAGAGAATAACTGCAGGCAGAGATAAAAAAAAAAAAAAAAGAAGTAAAATTTCCATCTGTGCCGTTTCAAATTTAGCAATTTATTTGACCCGAGAAAAATCAGCTCAGGATAAACCACTTAAGCTCCTTAAAGTTAACACCAGCTTAGGTTTTCATTCTTTCTAGAAAATTCACGACAGAGAGGAAAAAGGAACAAACTTGACAGCACCTGTTGCAGGTGGCACCGTTCGTCCAAGGCTGGACCATGCTCAGATCGGGAGATCCAGCGTCGCCCTGCTTCGCGGCGTCGTTCTTGGCACCACCCAGAAGCAGCTCGTCCGTCTCGCTCGAGCTCTCGCTCTTGGCCTCCCCGGAGCTCGCCTTGTCTTGAACCACCTCCTCCTCCTCCACAGGCTTCACATCACCAGATTTCCCTTCCATCTCTTGAATGAAACCTCACAAAAACAAGACGCTCGACCAGCCCTCTCCTTCACCTGGATCCTTCTCTGCCTTCAGCCTAGAGAGAGAGAGAGAGAGAGAGAGAATTGAATCCCAGCTTTGCCAACAGCCGGTGTTTCTTGCTTGTCTTCCTTCCCAAAAGAACCGAAAGTTCAGTCATTGATCGAATTTTCGCTTTCTACTTTTTTTTTTTTCCCGAAACTCCTTTGGATTGGCGACGTGTCGGGGTGGGATTGGCCGGAGGGAGCTGTAGACACGATTCTGGGGAAGCAGCACGACCCAGTCGCGGTATTCTCGTACGGAAACGCCGTATTTTTCAACGAAACGCGGGCGTGGCCGGTCGCCATTGGTTGTCCGTGCGATTGCCGGTTTTAAGGAGTCTCCTCGCCCCTTTTTTCTAAGTGAATGAAACCACCCAAGATGGGTCGACTACTGTGACCAGTCAATTCTCATGTTTTTTTTTTTTTTTATAACCGAGATGTCCGGAGCCAATTACCATACAAGACCTCGATTATTCCTCGAGTAGACAGGACAAAGAACTCCACCGCCACGACCCCGCACTTAAACATGCTGCTCACTGTGAACCGAACCTGGGACCAGTGCGCCTAACCGCACAATCCCAAGTACGCCCTAACCAACTGAGCTACCTATGAGTGGGTGGTCAATTATCATGTTGTTTCCTTTACTTTAGGAGAATAAAGTAACAATGGTCAATAGACATGCGACCTTACTAATAAAGAGATTAGGAAGATAGGGATACTCTCGCTCTGCAAGAGGCAAAGTAAAAATCAAAAAGTGAGAGGGGAGTTAGAAATAGAATAGACAAAAAAAAAAAACACCACTCGAGATAGATTGGTTAATTCTCGTGTTGTTTTCGTTAGAATGATGTTCTTTACTTTAGGAGAAGTAGCAATGAAAAAAAAGTTTTATGCAGCAATGAGAACTAGGTTTACTAATTCCAAATTATGGATCACGTCGCCCGACAAGAGAATTTTGGACGCGAGGTGATTCTTTAAAATGATCCACGGATCTCGAATGAATCCCGATCTACTGATCGATTCCGCCCTGGAAGTATGCATAAGTGATGCATCTTAGGCTCCGCTTGTTTCGCGAAAAATATAACGTTTTCCAGGAAGTTATTTTTCAGGAAAATGATAATATTTTTCCAGTGCTTCGCTAAAACCTGAAAATGAACTAGAAAATATTTTCCGTCATTTGGTTAGATTTTCCTATATAGACATATCTTTATTCAGGCACTGGTGATTTGCGCATGGGCAGCCAGGAAATTGAGTACGGGCACCGGGGCCTCTAGTTCGGCCTTGATGGACCTTGACTCAGGCATGGGAACCTAGTCCTAGACATGAGCACGGGCATCGATCTCAGGTCCGATCTTGATGGACCCGTGCCTAGCCTTGATAGATCTAGGCCGGGTGTCAGGGACCCGGGCCCAACCTTGATGGACCCAAGCCTGGCCTCGATGGACTCGGGCGCAAGTGGTGAGATCTTGGGCCCGGGAGCCGAGGACCTGGGCACGAGTGCCAAGGTCCCAAGTTTGGCCTCAATGGACACAGGCTCGGCCTCTAGACTCGGGTTTGCTACTAGGGCCCAAAAACAAGCGTTTAGATTCCCGTGCTCAAACATAGGTTTTCTGGTCCAAGCGCTGATATTTAATCATATTTTGAAAAATGATATCCGATTTTTTTTTTAAAAAGAAAACGATTTTCATGAATTTAAGAATGGATTTTCCGTTAATTAGGAAAACATTTTCTGTTAACTCGTTTTTTTAAGTGATCCAAATGCTAGAAAATAAGAAAAATATTTTCCACGAAACAATAAGGAACCTTAATTTGTCGTGCATATCCAGAAGTCTTGTAATGCTAACAACAAGAAGTGAGTTTTTTACCATCATGCGATGTTAATTAATGTATTTTCGCTAGTCAAGCCAGAGGTACACATAACGAGGCACAACATATCCAATGCTATATTCCCCGGCTATTTCCAAAATTAGTCAATGAGTTATTACCAAAAGATTAAAAGTTACTAGCTATTAAAGTGATAAAAATTGCCCTTTCCTTTAGAGAAATTACAAAAAGCATTGAAAACTTTACTCATTGCTGGTTTTATTGATGCTAATGCATCAACACCGACGGCCACCAGGGCGCTCTTGTCTGGGCCCAGAGCAGTCAGCAACGTGCCACCACCGTCACCTCACCACCTCCATAGATCTCTTGCCCTGACTTTTTATTATTTTATTTTTTTTAGTATTGTTTTATTTTGTGCCTCCTTGGAGCCGTATGCCCATAAAAGACGGGGGAAATTGATCTAGGGAAAATGATACGAATAATTCTTAAATTTTGGTTCAATATGCAATATCATTCTTGAACTTTCAATTCGTTTAATATGGTCCTCGAGACATTCCTCAATGTTTGATCTAAACCCTAAACTTTTGAACGAGATTATAAGACAAACAAACCTACGTCATTCGATCATTTGACAAATGCTACGAACTAGTTTTGCCTAATATTTTTTCGGTTATTAAGGTAGCTTGTCTCACCCTGGAGGGTGGGAAGAGTCGAGAACAAAGTGGCAAAGGGGTGCGTAAGGCGTGGGAATCTACCGAACAATTTAGGCCAAATCATGAAGAAAGCTAAAAAAGTGCTGCTTGATAGGGCCTAAGTAGTGTTAGGTAGCTGGTCAGGTAAAGGCATGCCAAGCCCCAATGATGCTTAGCTGGTCTTTTCGATGATTAGACACACTGGGGAGTGAGACACGACCTTGCTTGACCACGGAAAGATAATCGAAGAAAGTTTGAAAAGCACTGTGGCATTAGAATATAACTTCTTTTATTGGCATGGCCCCTCTATTTATAGCTTTCCCATCCCATAAGATAAATTTTCTATGTCCATCCCGGGCGTGGGTCTCTCTCTTTTGATATTGAAAAAACAGTGCATTCAAAATCTGGAAACACGAGTAAGGAATGCTATCTTATAAATACTTTCAATTGGTTCAATTGAGTTGTAAACACTTCAAAAAGGGTAATCAAGTTATTTCACGAGAATTAGAGGATTACTTACGCATCTTTTAAAGATTGCATGCGTGACATCGTCAAACTACACCTGTTAACATAAGCTTTGGGGATTAATTACCTTCTTCAATAGAGGTTTAACACCCAATAATATGAATATAAAAGACAAAAAACCTAATTAAACATCTCCCAAAAACTCTTCCCTCTTTTGAAGCTTTCTCGTAAGCTCTCGGCTTTGGGTTCTGAAGGTGAAAACCTACTTAGTCTTTGGTTTTCCATTTCTTTGCTTTGATTGTCATTTTTATTCGTCTCCCGTTCTAATTTGGGAATTTGTGAGTGTTAATAAATTTCTGCAGCTGAACTTGGGTGAACGTGGAGACCAGTTTGACCATTTGTCCGGTCGATAGCTATCGAGGAGGATGTCCGTGACGTGGCGGATCCGTTCTCGAGGGATGAGAGTGTGCCTTTTAGTTGCAGATTGTGCTTTGTTATTTGCATTATGGCATTTATTTTGTTCCATAATTATTTGGGATTTGCTAGGCTCTAGCATTATTCCGAGAAGTGAATGTAATCTTTCTTTCGACAAAAAAAAAAAAAACACCTAATTGAACCAATTGAAAATTTTAAATCTCGACTGTACTTTTCGATAAATATTTAGATATTAATTGAATAAATTGAAACGTTTACAACTCAATTCTATTTCATAAACGATTTACTTTTCATTCTCTGTTTAATCTAAATCTTGCAGCTCCCGCAGTTCGAGTCCGACTTTTCTTGGAACTTTCGAAATCGATACCTAAATTCATGCATAATTCTTTATAGCTTTTAAAATGCGAATAATATCTTAAATTTTGATAAGAAGATAAGAAAAAAGTCACCTTTGCTTATTTTTTCACTGTAGTAGACGAACATGATCGGATCGTTGGATCGGGTGCGAAAGCGGGTTGGTTTTAGCCCGCCCACCGCAAAAGCAGAACACGTCAATTGTGCTCCAAAACCGAGACCGGACATGGAAGCCATCCATCGAAAGCTCGCAGTGATCTCCTCCTTCGACCTCCACCCATTTCCAAACATATAAAAGCCCGAAGAACCCATCCGTCGTGTCCATCGAAACGGCCATCGAAGATGGAGCCCCCTCCCTTCCAAGAAGCAGCCCGCTGCGATGTCTGCAAATGCAGCTTCAACACCTTCAGGCGACGCGTAAGCTCCTTCCTCTTGCGAACCTCTTGCTCTGCTCTGTTCGATGATTTGCCGATGTGGGTCGGCGATGGTTGTGTTCTTGAATCCGAGGCGTGAGTTGCGTTGTCTTTCGAGCTTGATCATCGATGTGGAAAAAATGGTTACCTAGCTTGATTATCGATCGTTTGTGTTTGATGGATCTCGTGAGGCGCGGGATCAAATTCTGCAGTGACTGCTAATTGGAAGTTGATAGAAAAGGGCTCGTTTTTTTTTGTGGATTGATCGAGCATGTTCACGGATGGCTTCTCTAGACTCGCTTATAGACCGACCCTTTTTGGGTTTTAAGGCTAGAGTTGACATTTTTGGATCAACGAGTCATTGCTTTGGTGGGTTTGTTATGTAAATGGCGACTTGCATCTTTGTGGGTCTCTTTTCTCCTCGCTAGCTGCTGTGCATGTGAATTCGCTGGCCTGTTATAATTAAAACCCGTAATGCCAGAATTATGTTCCCTGGTCGATGCTTGAAACTTGAAGAGTGCTGCCTGTAGGCCAAACAGAAATTACTGCCTTGCTTTAGAGGCGAGAATGCGGCAATTATATACAAGAGCTATCGTGGAGGATGTCTAGCTTCCATTGGTTAGGTTTTTATAGCAGTAGTACGAGGAACTTGCTCGAGGCAAGGGTGGGCAGAGTGGTGCATAGTATGTATGTGGAAGAAATCAATAGCTGGAGATAAAAGTGAGATTGAACTGATTCTTTATTGCTTCATGATTTTAGGGAGTTGATGTGTCAAGGCCTGCATCTTTGCTTTACCATCACTTGATCTCATACCTTGTTACCGCATGGCACTGTCTGAGAATGCTCATTAACTGGGATCTGCTTTCTGCTGCTTTATAAATTGCAAATCGACGGGTTAGTGTGGGCTCTATGAAAGCTTATGAACTTTACACAAGCAGATGCTCCTCTAACCTTGTAGCTCTCACTTCATTCACGCATTGTTTGATGATGACGTGTTTTTCCTTTTCTGTTTTGTTTTGGGAGCGTTGAAGAGTAAGTGCTGTTGTCATGTGAAATGGGGCTTTTAATGTAGTCTAGAACCTCAAAAAGTAACTACTCATTCCAGTTCGCCATTTGCTTCAGCATCATTGCAGATGCTGCGGAAGGACCTTGTGTTATGAACATTCATCAAATCAATTGGTAAGGCCTCTCATCTTGGTCTCAACAACTAATATTCTTTGTACAGCTCCTTTTTTCGCTCATGAATCTTAATTAATTCTCTGTGTGAAATTCAGGCTTTGCCACAATTTGGTATCCACTCACTTGTCAGAGTTTGTGCAGATTGTTATAACAACCCTTCTCAGTAAGCGAGACTATGCTGCTTTTTTCAGAGTCTGTAGTGTTCTAAATATCTGTAAAAGTATTTTGAAAATGGGAAGCTTCAACTTGTTTTTTCATTCCATAAAGTTCTTGTTTCTCTGTTACTTAGGGTTGTTCTCATTCTTGCAAGTATGCTTGCTCGATCATCATTAGACATCTGGGTCCTCACACCATAGAAACCGGTATAGCCACAAATATTTGAGATTGAGCTGCCAGAAATTCTCCCTATATGGGTAAACATCTGACTGGCATGGTCACTAACTAATGCTGTGCCTGTTTCCTCTGTCCTGGTCTCTCTCTCTCTCTCTCTCTCTCTCTCTCTCTCTCTCTCTCTCTCTCACACACACACACACACACACATGAGCGCACGCGTGCACACACACAGAGACACGCATGCACGCACGCACACGCACACACACAACCTCAAGTCGCTTATGGGTATAGGCGGAAGAGATCCATTGCCGCTGAATTGTGGAATATTAAGTGGTGGCGGCTATCTTATGATTCTGCAGACAGGTTAAATAATGACACCATCCTCCAATATGAAAATTGAGCTACAGTTCCCTGAGCATTCATCCCAATTTTTCACCATTTAGTTTTCTCTATCCAGACAATATAAGGTTGTTGATTATTCTTATTAAGGTTAGGTTACTGTCGCTTGTATAGTATTTGTCTTGCCTTTAGTTGATTGGTCTTTACATGTTGAAGATATTTGCTTCTATAGAGAACTTGTAAGCTCGATCCTTATTAGAAGAGAAACTTTTGATGTACTTGTCAACTAGTGTTGTACCTTCTGTTTGCTGAACACTGTAACCCAAAAAATGTGTAAGATGGCAGGAATCTGTTTGATTTACATATCACTTCCCGTTCCACCTTGCCTGTTCCAATATTAAGAGTAAGTTCAGAGAACTAAGACTGATGACTGCTATTGTTTTGGTAATAAGCCTTTTCGTGGAAATTTGTCTACTTGGATCTGTGGTTCTATACTATCTGTCATTTGATGAGATAAGGTCGGCAAAGGGTATTAGGATGATAGTCAAACAAAGAATCTTGCAGTTTACTTTATATAAGGGATCAAACCAGTTGAACTAAAGGAGATGTGAACGTACATTATTGCATTTGAGTCCTAAATTCCACTCCTTTTTTCCCTCCTGCAAGATGCAATAGGCACATCCCTAGTGAAGGCCGTGAAGCTCACTGTCCTCTAAATCCCTATTTACATGTATATTTGATGCTTTTACACTTCTTTCTTTATGTATCATGGAAAGATTACGTGTGGCTAGAACTAGCCGCTGAAAATATCTCACATCGTGTAGATTTTCCAATATTTGTACTAGATATATAATTTGCTTTTCAATATGTTTGGAGCAGACCTGCAAAGGGTGATAGACAAGCTTCAGTAGAGGGAGTCGATCATGTTACAGATTCAGTTTCTAAATTAGACATCGGTGATGTAGTTCCAGAGGAAAAACCAATTGCAGAACATCAAGCTGGCCAAGGTGTTCCAGACTGCAAATGCGGGATGCCTTTATGCATTTGTGAAGCTCCTGCCCCATTTGTCGATACGCTTCACTTACAGGTATGAAGTATGAACAACTTTTAAGTTACCAGAAGTGTGTGCACTTTATAATTGCTGTGGCATCTCTCTTGCAGACAAAAACCACTTCCACTACTTCTCAGTCAAGCCAAAGACCCAAAAGGGACCCTGTTCCGAAGAATAGGGGCTCCACCTCAACCAGCAATAATTCGTAAGTAACATATTAATTCTACTTCAAAGTATACTCATCTTCTTGACCAAGTAAAAAAGTATACTCATCTTCATAATTGACTGTTTACCGTTGTGTGTTCATCCTGCACATATTTTCTAGCAACCCAAATTTTTTATCAAACTGTATGGTGGTCTAGATAACAAGATGTTAACACCTTTGCTCCCTCAATCTTTATATAGGAGGAGTACAAGGTGAGTATAGATAATTATCTTCCTTTAACATGAATGTAATGTTGGGCAGTTGGAGTTGCATAGATAATTCAAGTTATTGTTTTAGCAAAAGGCAAAGACAATATGCTTGACTCGCTCGTAATGTCATATCACATATGCACCGTCTCTGTCAGCACTTGTGTGTGTGTGGCCGGCCTAGTTTCCCTGTAGGGGTGATATTTTCCTTGAGCAGGGACACATACCTCTCACTTGCTGGCATCCAAGAAAGCAGATAACTTTTTTTAATTAGTGACAACTTCTAAGTATAAAGCCCAAAGATATCGGTGAGACTAAGCTCAATGGCTTGAGGGACGGAGGTGGCGTGTATATAGAGGCCCAAGGCACGCCAAAAAGGGAGGTCTAGACGGCGTCGCTTTCCGCGGAACCAGGCATATATGTACGTGACTAAAAAAGCATGTAGCTACTAGTGTAACTGCCGGTTTATGTGGAGTTCATCAGGTTATATCCTTCTTGATTAAGTGTACTGCACAACTCATGATTACCTAAGGTCTTCACCTCGGATATGCGGATAGGCATATAATGAGGATAGATGGTAGTGAATTACCACGGGTTTATGAACTACTGCTTTTTTTCTTTTGTTTTTTTGTCATGGATATGCTAAGGCTCTATGATTGTTTTTATATTACAGATCTTATAAATCATTTCCCTTTGCTCTCTCTTTAGTACAACAAACTTGTATCCCTGTAAAGTGGTTTCTGGTGCATATACAAGCAACTTACTCTCTTTAAAGCGATTTTGTATTTCCTCCATAACAGTTGAACTTGTCTGGAAATAGATGCAGGTGTTGGTTTCCATTATCAGTGTACATCAGAGCCGTACCGTTATTCTGTCATTTTTTATGATAATTAGCTTTTTACGCAAAATTTGCAGGTCAGTTTTGAATGCTGGTCAAGTTTCCAATGGCGCTCCAGAGAGACCTAAGATGGATTATGATGTAAATGGCGAGGTATTTGCTGCTGCCTGCTACATTAAGAAGGTGGATTATGTATTGTGAAATCTTAACAGTATATTCCTGTGCCTAGGGTCTAAGGGAAGCAATAAAGAACGATGATGCTGCTGCAGTTAAGAAACTTCTCAGTGAGGTATTGAGCATCTGTTTCTAGTCATAAGGGAAGTTATGAAGTCTTGTCGTTGCACGTTCATATCCGGTGACTATAGTGCTGAAGTAAATACATTCTAGCCCTCTCACATTGCAAATTACTGTAAGAATTTTGTAAATGAGTGCCCCCGTGGCATTTATTAAGCAACCAAATAAGGAAAGTCGACAATTAATCACTCTCTTCTCTCATTATATCTTCTCGTGGTATATGTAATAATGACTAGATAATGGTAACATTTGTCATTGACTATGCTTAACAGGTTTGGTGGGGCACTTGTTAACAAGATCCTTACTTTATAAGGAACTTAAATATTAATTATGTGTCCCATTTTGACTCTTCAGTTTCAACCACTTTTTTGGTGGTCCCCTGAGACTCTGAATTAGCAGTTAAATCGGTCCCATTCATCGGTGATCCAAAGTGAAAGATAATGAGGCGTTAGAACTATATTTGTACTGTGACCCACGATGAACGGGATATGGTCAAACTGAGCTTTTGAATTGTAGCGGCATTTACAAACAAGTGCATTTTCATTTGCACAATAATCCTTTATTCTTGTCGTTGTCGATAAGTCAACTTTTCGCACATAAGATGTAATGCTGCTTTTCTGCGTGCGTGCGTGTTAAAGGTGAATGTCTGTTGTATAAAAATTGTAAATAAATATCATGTTGGTCAATTGCTATCCTCGAAGAAATGAATTTGTTCTCTTTTTTGGGGTTATGGCATGTTTTTGTTCATCTGATCTGTATTTGACACAAAATACACAGCAATTACACGTGTATTGACCTTTTGACTAATATAGCTAAGAGAATGTGGAACTGATTGTTGTCATGCTGGCAGGGAGTGGACCCTAATTACCGTGACAGACAGGGAATGTCTTTGCTGCATTTGGTACTCTCTCTCTCTCTCTCTCTCTCTCTCTCTCTCTCTCTCTCTCTCTCTCTCTCTCTCTCTCTCTCGTTTTAGTTATTTGAGAATGTTGTGTATTCTTGCTCTGTTTGTGCAGGCGGCAGTTTTTAACCGAACCGACGTTGCTTTTATCCTTATGGAGCGGGGAGCAAGCTTGGATTACAGGAATGCACAGGGTAACCAGTCATACCCCTGTACTGTACAAAGTTGTTGATTCTCCTATGAATTAGCACCTAGCTGTAGAACTCTAAAGTTTAAAATTTTAGGAAAAAAAAAATGCATCAGTTGCCTATGCCTGTATGCCATGCGGCTGCTAAGAAGCTAGATGTAAGTTAAAAAAGGAAAAACAGAGAATTGAAAACCTTGGTTGAGAATGGCCAACCTGACTTGAGGTGCTTGATGTCCAACATTTAGAACTGTATGATGTATGTGTTTCAGTGTTTTGGGACGATCACAGCAAAAATAATAAGTTGTAGAATGAACAACTTGCAGTTTCCCTAATTTCGAGCCGCATTTTTGTTGGCCAATTCTTTTTTTGTCTTTAGGAGAAACGCCTTTGGATTGCGCACCGGTCACTTTGCAGTACAAGATGCGGCAGAAAATGGAGGAGGGTTGCTAGTACCAGTCTGACTTGCCCCAAATTTGTTTCAAAGGAAATACTTGCTTAATGCTTGAAGTGTGCTTGTTATCTTTATCACTATAAGGAAATGTCTAATCGACACCATCGACATGTTTGATTGGCTATTTTCGGACGGTTAATGAGAGCTCTTTTCTGAGGCAAATAATCTGCTCAATTATGATGGGGGGCAAGATAGCTTTGCCCTGGATTTTCAAATCTCTTTCGTCTTTTTACAGAATGAATATTCTTGAGTTGTGCTGAGGATATCCTTCACGGACTTTTTACCCTTTTATAGATTAGAAGGAACCAAGTAATTAGTACACAACCGCGTTTGATGCTTTCTTAAATTGGTCTGATGTTTTTGGCAGAAGTTGTGTTGAATGAATATTCCACCCACGATGCGCCACTTTCACTGTTACTGCTTCCAGAAAAATATAAATATGACAATCGATAGAATGATACTGAGTCTCTGGTATCTTATTGGGATGCTTGGAGTTTTGGATTGTTTAGCACGCAGCATTAGTGATATTTGATGGTTTATTTGACCATCTTTCACTATCATGTGTTTGCATATTCTTTTGACTATTGTATAGATCCTATTACATTCTTTCCTTCCATATACAGTCTTTCCTCCTCTTTCTTTAGAAAATCAGCAAGAGTCAATCATTACGAAAGTCTCGCCGAATTGCACCCGGTTTATATCCATCATTTTTCCCTCCGTCCTTTTAATGTCTGCGAATATTTTCTGGCTCGTGCGTTACCGAAGAGATGCATCAGAATGGACAAGGCACTATCGAGCAGAATTAGACAAGAACAAAACCTTATGGAGGGCGGCCTAATCGCGCTTTTTGTATTGTCGTGTTTAGCCTGAATACTTACTGCTCTCTTCTAAAGAAACAGAGACCTAAATATGTGATGCCACAGGTACAATGAAGCGGCAATATAAAATGCCAAGAGCCATATCAGAATGGATGATAGGCCACGCTCCTTTGTAGCCTTGTGTGAATCATCAAAGCACCATGAAGAGCAAGATTGGTCCGTGAGTCAGCAACACTTCATGCCTCCTGACTGAACGCGAACGAGAAAAGATGTGCTTGGAAAATTGGTAGTAAAAGCGAAAAGAATATGCCATGCTCTCTTGCTCATGCATCATCCACCTTCCCCTCCTATAAAAAGAAAGGCCAAAATAGCTAATTTCCAATCATCTCTCTCTCTCTCTCGAGATCTCTCGACAATGGGTTTCTTGATGGGGGATTCTAAGACGATTGCCACGCACTATCTGCTGTGCAAAGGAGCAATCTTGTTGGCCCTACTGAGATGGGTCTTGTCTCGGGCTGTCAAGCTAAGAGACAGAGCCGCCATGACCCTCTTTTCAAGTGCCTCCACAGAGAGCCTCCGCTCTCGTTCTTCTCCACCTCGCGCGCCGCCCTCGGAGCTCGCTGCAGACGGTCCTCCTCTGGCCGCCAACTACGGAGATGTCACGGTCAAGAGACTGCAGGCGAGCTGCGACACCTGCGCGGTCTGCTTCAGCCCGTTGATGGAGGGCGACGAGGTGAGGGTGCTCAGGAACTGCTGCCACGTCTACCACAGAGAGTGCCTCGACAGATGGGTCGGATGCGATCCCGATCATCATCACGATCATGATCGTCGTGATGATTGCAGCAATCACAGGACGTGCCCGCTTTGCAGGGCCCCGCTGTGGGCTCCTTCGCAGAGCTTGAAGCTGGCCAGGACAGAGCCCAGATGGACCGTGAAGAGGCTCTGTTCCTCCGTCTGGGGATGCGATCCGTAGCGACAGAAACCAGTTCGGACATGCACGATGAAGAAGCACGAAAGCAGATATATATGTCATTCACTTCCCCTTTTCGTTTTTGTATTTGAAGTTTGTATTTTCTTTCTACTCCTTCCTTACTAAGAAGAGGAGAATCTTGGAGATGGATACCCTAATTTTGGCTTGTCTATAAATGGAGGTAAAAAAGTAACTTTTTTTTTGTCATTTTCACGAGAAGGTATTGAGTATCATTTGAATCTTGAAAAACTACGAAAAAGTTAGAAGCTAATCCTTTTAAGGTGTGTGACAAAACCTTCACGAATGGCTGCCCTCTTTCGTAGTTTTCGAAATCCCGCCCTTATTCGTTAATCAATCGGGTCTAACACGCGAGACCTTATGTAAGGGGAAATTCTTGTCTGAACTCGAATCTGATGGGTCAAGCATATCGTGACCGTTAATTTTGAGTGATTCACAAAATCAACAATCGCGATGTACCAGGCTGAGCGACCTTGATTTAGGGAAGAACTTCCCTAATATAAAGACCACTAGAAAATACCTGCGCTTTGTGGTGCATGTCCTGTTGAATAACTCGTCATAAATATCTTAAATTTTTCATACAATGATTTCCATACTTTATTAGAGTGTAGCATTCTTTCGTATTTTAAGAAAAAAAATTGTATTTTTCCGTACATGTATTTGTTATATCTTCTCAAAATCACACTTGAATCAACTTATAATAGTCCTGACTAATTAAATGAGCATCTACTTCTCTATTCCAAAAGCACGTGGAAATCAAAGCCAAGAAACCTTCCTTTTCTTCTATTAAAATCCCATTCTTGTAAAGTTCAACAAAATAAAATAAATTAAATCGACAAAAAAGATCATCGACAATGTGGAAAAAATATCTTTTCAAATACTTATCCATGAAATAAACTTTTGCTTAATCCTAATTGACTAATATTAAAAAGGAAAGCACCTTAAAAATGAATAAGCAATTCTTTTCGCTCCTTTTTACTTGAATTTTGAGTGTAGGACCATCCTTTCTAAAAGTCTAAATTATATGTATTTGGTGAGAGACACAAAATATACATTACACACTGCTAATTTTTACCACATTTAAAAGATTTTTTTTTTATGTAACTAAGTAATTGACTCCGTATATTCGTTTATTAATATAAAAAGATTTTGTCTACGTAGCAATTGAAAAGGAGAAAAAGAAAATGGAAAAAGGAGAAAAAAAAAGAGAGGGCATAGTCTGAAGAGGCAAAGTACCAAAAAAGCCATAAACTTATTGCATTTGTATCAATTCAATTATAAACCTTTCAATTGAGTCATAAACTTTTTGCATCTGTGTTAATTGAGTCCATCCGGCCAAACTAGGTCGGAAATTGCCAACGTGGACGCCGGTCGTTTTGTATGACACTGGCAACCGGCGTCGCTGACGTGGACATTTTTGATAATATTTTAATAGTTTTTTTTCAAGAATTTTAATTTTAATTTCTTCTTTCTTGTTTTCTGTTTTTTTTTTCCCGCCTTGTCAGCCATAGGGCGAGGGTCGCAGCCCTTGCCCTTGCCCGCCTAGCTCGCTCTGACCATCGCTAGCGAGCGTGGACAAGGCCTCCTCTCCCAGATCTGGGCAAGGCCGGCTTTAGCCTCGCCATCTGCGAGCGAGACCACGGTCGCCTTGGCTCGTGGTCGGCTAGGCCCTGGCGAGGCGGCCTCAATTGGCACAAATACAAAAAGTCCTGTACTAAAATAGCCCAATTGAAAAGTTGAGGATGGAATCGGCACCAATATAATAACTTCAAAGACTTTTTTGGGCCCAAATTGATGGGCTCAAACATAACCGCGTCTCGGCCCAAACCCGAGGACCCGAAAACCGAAAAATCAAAAAATCAAAATAATCGCCGGAAATAACAAAAAAAAAAGTCAAAAATCCTTGCTCTTTCCCTTTCCTTCGACCCTCGCTCATCATAGAATATTTTACCAGTTGCGCTCACCGGAGCCGAGGAAAAAAGAGAAGTTGCAGGTTCCTCTTCCTCCTCTTCTTCTTCTCTAGGTCCGTGCAGATCTGCATCTCCCCCTTCCCCCCCTCCCCCTAGATCTCCGATCCCGACGAGGCCGAAGGTATGCTCCCGCCGTCCCTTGCGATCGTCCTGCGCCTCCGTGCATGAGAATGCCGTGATCTCGTTGCGGGAGATCTCGATCCTCTCCGATTCGGAGGTTCGCCGCTGCTGACTCTTCCGTTTTTTGTGTTCGTGCCCCGGCGCAGGGAGCGCGCGCGCGGCGAGAGAGAGAGAGAGAGAGCGAGAGCTGGAATCGAGGAAATGGCGGGCGGAGGAGCGGCGGGCGGGTTCGTCACCCGAGCGTTCGAGTCGATGCTCAAGGAGTGTGCCAGCTCGAAGAAGCATCCCGACCTCCAGGGCGCCATTCAGTCGTATATAGGTGCGTGCAATTGGACATCCGCTCTGGTCATTTTCCTTTTTGCGCGCGCGAATCGCGAAGCCGGTGATTGTCGAGCCGGAGATGCTGATTTGCTAGCTCGCTCGTTCGTTCGTTGCACAGAGTCGTGCGCATCGGAATATTTTGTTTTTGTCTTGTCCTGGTGCCCGGTGCTGTAATTAGCTTCAGGCTTTTCGCTTGCCTATGCAAGTGCGCTGGCTAGTTAGTTCAGTCGTGCTCTGAGAAGTGAATGAAAATCGCTAAATGAAAATGTATCTGTTTCGGAGAAAAGCCGGGAAAGATGGACAGCTCCAGTGCTGGAATGGGGCTTCTTATAGTGAGAGTTGCTGTTGGTTTCTATGTGTCTGTAGATGACTACTATTTCTGGTTTGATTGTAGTATCTATGTTCCCAGTCATGAGTCATTGAGGCAGAACATGATTTGGATTTTCAGCTTGTCAAATTTTTTTTTTCTCCTGTTAGAATGCTGGTCCAGTTGCCAAGTTTTGGCGTTTTTTATTTGATGTAATGATTCCTTGTGTTTATTTGAGTCTATCGATTTTCACGTCATCTTTTTTTATTTTTATTGCTAAGCATTACGAAGGCTCATCGAGGTTTATGTTGTTTCAGACAATACAAAAGAGGTGGCTCAACCTTCTGCCAACAATGAGGCAAAGGGAGCGCAACAATTGGTTGCCGAGGGGAGGTATGGGAGTAGACTAATTCAAAACTTGCTAGCTTTGTTTTCATTTTTCAATTTGTCACTATAGATTTCTTTAAGCTTCTAGAATTTTCTTTATTGTACTCGTTCTTTCGTATTTGAGATTGCGTGCCGCGTAAATGAGATTCACCTTTAAGTCAACGATTTTCCTTATCATGCACCATTGGGATGAAAATGTAATCTCTAGGTGATTCAGTGTATGCAAAATTTGTTGTTTACTCCGTTTTGCTTTTTATTGGACATGCATTATTTGAAATAACGTAGTCTTGTGATGAGGCTGGTGTTTTGCTAGGATTTAGGACATACGAGAAACTTTTGTATGTACTTGATTCACAAGTGTAGTGGACCGTGTGTATATCGTTCTCCTTTTCCATTCTCACCAGCAAAGAAATTGGTTTTAGTCGCTTCCATTGTTATTTATGTATTTTATTGGCAAAATCTCTCCAAGAACGTGTTGTGCTTATGTTAAATTAAAGAATTTTGCATCTCTGTACTTGATGACATGGTAAAATGTGATTCTGAGATGACATGTAAATTGCAACTACATAATCTTTGGACAAGGATAAACCATAATGATTTATGCGGCATATGCCACGGCGTAATTGGTGGTTAAGCATTTAAATTAGAAGGAGTTGGATGTGGTTGAAACAATTGATGATTTCATAATGGATGGGGGCATGTTGAAAGGGATAAAAAGGATAGGATAGAAAGATAGTGTTAATCGTATGTCACATTGACTAGGAAGATCTAGGAGTATACGGGCGCTATGTAAAGATGTTCCTCTCATCTCATGGAGAGGATGCTGGATTGAGATTCTGGGGAAAGACTTTATTTGTGCAGATTCTAATTTTTTTTTCCTTTGAAAATACTCATGATTGAGGACACAATTTTTGTTTGCTTGGAAGGACTGTGCGTTCAGGTGTAAGGAATCGGCACCTTTCCAGGATGGGAATGCCAATAACTTTGCAATTTTGCACATTAATTTTGACTGTGTGCGCACGTTCTCTTTCTCAATAATTTATTTAAAGGACATAGTTGACATTTTTCACTGCTTCCTTTCCATTTTCACCTGCGTTATTAGTCACAACCAAAGCAGGCAACTGAATTCCCTATCAAATCCATTCATCCACAGTTACATCCTATTGCTTGTGCCAATTGTAATATGCATTCTGTTCTTCGCCCTTTATGATTGGAAAGGAGGGGAGAAGTGAAGGGAGGAATTTGACCTATCTTGATTTGGGACCATTTAATCTCTTGTTGCTGTAATCTCTTCCTCTGTTGGAGAAGTTTGAAAATTAACAGAATACTGGATTTGCATCATGTGATTCGATGTATGGAAAAGACTAGATGCGGATGATTCTGACTTGTCTTCAAAACCCCCTCTTTCCCTACCCAATTTTCTACTCTCAGTGTGGCTGAAACTGATGGTGGAGGTGCAAAACAAGTAATAGAGTCCGATCAGTCACACACATTGGCACCCAGTGGTGAAGGAGCAGAGCAAGTTGTGAAGCCAGTGGTTGCAGCTGGAGCTATTACAGCTGCATTGGCTAGTGCAGGGAACACTTTAGGAGGAGCTGAGGTGGAGCTTGTCCTGAATCCACTCAGACTTGCTTTTGAGACAAAGAACACGAAAGTTCTGGAACCTGCTCTGGATTGTCTCCATGTATGTAACAATAAACTCTTGTCTAGTTCCAACTTCCCCATGATTCTTCTTCCGACTAGGAACCATGGTCGAATTTTAAGGGTGGCTATATTCAGTCTACTATTTAACTCTTTGGGTCTTTATTATTATTATTATTATTATTATTATTATTATTATTATTAAGTATTTATGCTTTTAGGGCTGTCGCAACATATTAGATTTGACATGGCTGGGCTTCATCAATTGGGAGCAACCAGCTATCTTT